AGAAAAAATATGAGTATGAAAAAGAGTGAATGGATATAAGAGGAGAGAGATAAAAGGAAGGGGTTGAACCATTAGAGAAGGCGGGGGGGACAAAATTCACAACATGAGTCAAGTACAGCACGAAGGAAGAAAGCATGCAGCGGGAGAACGGAGCAGAATCCGACGAGCGAGAGCATTGAGAGGTTGAACGTCCAGGCCAAAAAGACGGCGAAAGGTATGTCAGTGTTATCCCGGAGAAAGTCGTAAAAAATGGTGGCTCCAAACATGGATGTAGATCCTCCTCACGGTAGATAAGACGGATCGGGGGGGGGGGGGGGCATGCGATCGACCCATCGGGGATCTCGGCGAGTCTCGACGAGTCTCGCGCCCGAGGGACGGGTACCCCATCAGCGGCAGCCCCTGCCAGCCGGGGCTGTCTCCGTCGTGGCAGTCGAAGAAGTCTTGGGCCGCCGCGTAGGCGCGCGTCCCGTTCCTGCACGAGGGTCGAGGAGAGGCTCGGGGGAGGGGTGGGGGAGGCGCGATCTCGGGTCATCTCCGGTCATCTCGAGCCATCTCGAGTCATCTCGGGGTCATCTCGACACCATCTCACCGGAAGTGCCAGACACGGTCAGAGAAGGTTCTAGGAAGGTTCTAGGACTCACCGGAAGTGCCAGACACGGTCGGAGAGCCCGTCCAGGTCAGTGACGGGCAGCAGCTCGATGAGCTTCTTGGAGGAGCCGTCGGGGCTCTTTGCGTGCAGGAACTTGCCTGCAGCGGACGCGTCACCGTGCTGTGTGTTCACGCGACACAAAAGCGACGTTTGCAGTGAATCGGTTGCAGTGAATCGGTTGCAGTGAATCGGTTGCAATACGGCGGAGGAGCTGCGGATCGTCTCGAGTGCTCGTCGGAGCGCAAGAGCGCGTCTTTGTCCCTCTAGGCGAGCATGCCGTGCGAGAAGCCGAGCGTATGGAACATCTCGTGCACCTGCTCACAGCTCGCAGGTGTGAAGAGACGCCGTCACAGCTGCCGCACTGCCGAAGAGGAGGTGTCGTGCGGCACCACCAGGGACGCCACTTGCTAGGAAGGTTCTAGGAAGGCTAGGAAGGTTCTAGGAAGGTTCACCACCAGGGAGCGCCACTTGTCCACCGCCCGCTTGCCTGAGGGAGGGGGGGCAGGGGGCGGGGAGGGGGAGGGGGGGAAGGTCGGTGTCTGCACACGCTAAACTGTGTGCGTGTGTGTGTGCGTCTTTGTGCGTGTGTGTGTGTGTGTGTGTGTGTGGTGTGTGTGTGTGTGTGCGTGTGCGACGTACCGTCGTTGTCAACAAAGTAGCCTTCCGCGTCCTTCGTGTAGCAATCCCCGTCTGGGGCGCCGACTCCGCACGGCGCCACCAGCACCTGGCAAACAGACACGGCAGCCTCCCCCCCCCCTCCCCTCCCCCCCCCCTGACCACGCCTCCAGCACCTCTCAGGGCGCGTGGCAGTGTCGGCTGGCGGAGTGTCTGGCCCTGTGTGGGTCTGTGTGTCGCTCCTGTGTAGCCGTCATCATCTGCCTTGCACCCAGACCCTCGCCGCTGTGTCCACTCGCTGCTCGGGCCGTGTCTCCGCCTCTCCGTCTACCGCGCACCTGGCTCATCTGCTCCAGCCACGAGAAGACGAGCCTGTGGGGCGTGGAGGGGGGAGAGGGGGGGGGGGGGGGGATCTGCCCGGCATCTAGGGGGAGGAGCGCGTACTACGACCGCGGGCAGGGGAGGCATCTGCCCGGCATCTGCCCGGCATCTAGGGAGCGCGCCAGAGCGGCCTGCCGCGCGCCTCTGTGGCGCAAGCGGAGCCTGAGCCGGCGACGCCCTCGAAGCCCGGCGGCTTGGTGATGGAGAGGACGGCGTCCGCCTCCACGCCCTCGCTGCAGTACGCCTCGTCGACGGCGGCGAACGCCGTCGTCTGGCAGTCGGACAAGCAGAGCGACTCGACGGTGTACCCCTTCTCCTCGCGCGTCCGCGCGATCCTGAGGGCGGAAGGGGGGGGTGGGGGGGGAGAGGCGGAGGTGGGAGGCGTAGAGGGGCGGGCGGGGCGGTAACGGGGCGGGAGCGGGGAGGTCGGCAAGTATCTCGACGGCTACACCTCCCTCACCTCGGGTTGCCGGCCGACTTGCGAAAGACGAGGTTGCCGCTCACGCGCTCGACGGCGAGAAGCTGGGAGACCTCGGCGGCGATGACCGTCGCCACGTGCTCGATGACCTCCCGCCCGCCCGGCGTCACCAGGTCCGCCTCCGTGCAGCGGCCCCAGCAGCCCTGCTCGGCGGCGACGCTCCACTCGGTGCTGTCGCGTGGGCAGGTAGCGACGCCGGTCGGCCCCCCGGGGGGCTCCGGGCCTGGGAAGCCGCGCCGGTACCACGCGCCCTCCTGGAAGCAGGTCGTGTAGGGCACGGCGGTCTCGCGGTAGAGCGACCCGAAGTCCAGATGCAACCTCAGAGGCTTTGTGTTCTCTCTTGTGAGGATTTGAAGGCGTCTCCGCCCGCGGTGGAGCGGCGTCGGGTGTACCTCAGCCTGGATTCCGAGCGCGTCCAGAAGCGACGGCGCGCTCACAGCAGGCGGAGACGACGAGGTCGCTCCGACGGATAGCAGGAGAATAGCCGCTGCCATCGGCAAGAGCGGATCAACGGTGCAACGTCGAAAGCAAGCGGCGTCGGCCAAGTCCCAGTTCCGCGGCGGGCTGGTGCTCCGGCTCTGTGGTTCACAGCCTTGTTATTGAGAAGAAAATACGTCTTTCACACCCATTTGGAGCCATTTTTGCGTATTCATACGGCACACACTTCTGGTCGGCCGATTTGTATCAGGCCGCAGTGACGGGGTCGCTGGCGTGTTCGTAAGGTGTTGACTGCAAAACGTGAACCGCGCCATTCACTCTCACCTACCTGACCACCCTGTCTGCGAATTCCTGTCTGCACGTCTCGCGCGCGCGTGAACAGGGCTCCAGGCCCCAAATGACGTGTGAGTGTTAGAGTTGTTTGGTATTGCCCGGCGGTCCCGCAGCTCGCGCACATCTCCCTCTTAACCCACCTGTAACATCACATTAAGGTATTGCTAAAAATACGGGTTGTTCGTAAGAGCTACATACACTGAAAATCTCTCTCTGTTGTGCTTTGCTGCTCACTCTACACTCATGTCAACAAAAGTTGTTTGGTATTGCTAAAAATATCTCTCTCATGTCAATCGACAAGCCCCACCGGGAGCCGGCTGCGGCGAGCGGAGCGAAGTGCTCCAGCCTCGTCTAGCCGCCCTCAGCCATCACCAGGAGACGGTCCCCATGGCTGCCGTGTGGACTCTGCTCCGGACGAGCCCACAGGAGAGTTGGGAGCCGCGGCACTAGACCGCGCCGCCAGCGAGGCGAGAGCTGCCAGCCGCCGACCAGCCGACATGGCAGTTGCAACGGTGCGAAGAAATTAGTTCCAGGCTTTCCACAGCTTCCACGTTCTCTCGAGGTTCTCGAGGTGGATATCCTTCGGCCGCGTTGGGTTGTGTGTGCCAAGCGCTCGGTGCGTTCTAAAAATAGGCGTCTTCACACTCGAGGCGCTGTGTTCAGCTTTCGCGCGCCGCCGCCGTGTGTGTTCCCCGGGAGCGCCGAGAATGGCCATGCTCCTCGCGACCGCGTCTGGTTACGTCGCCCAGCCCCCTCCGGGCGGCACCCTGCTCCCGGGGGTGAGTGTGGTGTGTGACACACACACACACACACACACACACACACACACACACACACACACACACACACACACACACACACACACACACACACACACACACACACACACACACACACACACACACACACACACACACACACACACACACACAACACACGTTTAAAATGAACTCGGGGGCACGGGACGCGGCACAAACGGGGCACAAACGCCAGGCTACAAACACGGGGAGGCACGTCGTGAAAACACACACACACACACACACACACACACACACACACACACACACACACACACACACACACACACACACACACACGTGCCCCGGATGTTGTGAGAGGCCGCCTCCCTCGAGACCTCGAGACCTTCAACAAAGCACAATGTCGCGTCTCTCAAAATTCTTTTGCCCGCCTTGCCTGTCGCGTGAATCGTGCTGTGCGACCGCCTAAGGCTAAAATTAAGGCTAAGAAAGAAAGAAAGAAAACGTACATGGACGGCACGCGATCTAGACACATTATATTCAAACCCCGCCTTCGCCATCCCTTGCGTTTGTTGGCGTTGGCCGTCCTGTCGTTCGTTCAACTCAACATCGGACGGAGCATGCTCACCCTCGCCCGCCAGCGCGCCCTCCTCGCGCCCTGATCGTCGCCGTGCTCGTTTCCCTCCACGACCGAAACAAACAGGCCAGAGACTCGATCGAACGGATCGTTGCCGTCGGTCCTTGGATCCGCGCCCTGCCTTACCAGCACCATGCCACCCTTACCTTTGCTCGTAACGCGCGACTCAGTGTTGCCAGTATGTTGCGCGGAAAATTCTTTTAGGCGCTAGGCGGGCACAGCGGGACAATTCTTCCGGAAGTCGCGAAACCCGCCGCAGGCCCGTGCACACTGTCTAGATCATGGCTCATCGTGTAGTCGGTTGCTCGGAGTCAGCTCTACAGCAGCTGAGCGCGGTCGACCTCAACGCCTTTCTCAGCACGGGCTTCCGCGCTGCTGACCCAACGTTGCAGGACCACTGCGTGGCAGTGATGCGTGGGCTTGGTGCGGCAGATGCCCAATTCATGCAGGATGTTTTCTTGTGGCGCAATTTTTTCGCGCACATGACACTGCGTGGCGAAAAGGGGTTCTACGTCGACAGCGGAGCCAATGAGCCACGCAACATCTCCAACACGTTCTTTTTCGACCGCTGTCTTGGATGGCCAGGTCTGTGCGTTGAACCGAATGAGGAATATCACGCCGCAATCGCCACACAGCGCTCGTGCACACTCATCAAAGAGTGCATCACAGCCAAGCCAAGCAGGCTCCACATGCAACTAAAGGCTGGGCTGTCGAAGGTCACACGCAACAAAAGGGCGAAACCAGTACATTGCAACCCGCTTGAGAGCATGCTCCACCGCGCACCCGGGTGGACGGGACAGGTTTCGCTTTGGAGCTTGGACGTTGAGGGTCACGAGATGGTTGTGCTGAATGGCACACGCTTTGACATCACACCGACGGACGTTCTGCTGGTGGAGGACAACAATATCGCGTCCCGGCCCCTCGACCGACTGATGGCGCAGAAGGGCTTTCTCAAGGCGGCGCAACTGCCTATTGACTCTGTCTACGTCGCACGGCGGCGCGACGTCTGCTGGCCGGAGTCCTACTGGGAAATTCCAGAAGAGGCAATCCGATGGGAGAAGCAGAGCAGACATGACGCCAAAAAGAAGTACTTTTGGTGACGGAGGACGACGTTTCCCAACCGTCGACATTATGTGCGCACTTTAGCTTATTAGACCCCCTTCCGGACCCCAACCCTGTGCGCAGGAAGCAAAGAATCGAGTGGTCGCTTGCGTGACGACGCTACTCGGATTGTTTGGGACCTAAAAAAACAAAACTTGTGGGCCATTCGGACGGAACCTAGTAGAGAGATAGTCCCACACCCAGCACAGCTATGGGTTTAGGCTACGGTATGCTCAAGAAGAGAATTTTACAACAAAACTCCCTCGCACGACACTGGGCACGGGACTGGCGCGCACTGGCACTAACACAGGTACACCATGGGAGCCGCCTAAGCGACTCCTGCAGGCATGGCGCTCTCGAGTACTTGACCGCCATGCCTGGCCTGCAGCCCATCTGTCGCGCGAACCCGAGGTACGCGTTGAGCACGAACGACTCGTTGACCTCGAAAGGCTCACTCAGCAGTGCGTCTTGGAGCAAGTACTCGCCCGTCTGGTTGAGGTGCTCTCGCGTCGTGCTCGACGCCGTCGCCGCGCGTACGCCCAGCTGCGCCGCCCGGCTCGCCGCGTCGCCCGCCAATTCGACAGTGGACGCGTCCGCTCCCGCCTCCGTCTGCACCGCCTGAGCCGCCGCCATCGCCACCCCCGCCAGCTGCTGCGCGCCTCCGCCGCCACCCCCGACAAGGCTCTCCAGGTGCTGAAGGATCGGCCGCCAGTACGCCAACGCCGCCGACCCTGTCGGGAAGCCGGCGCTGCTGAAGAGGGCCGGCCAGACGTGTTTCCGCATCCACGTGGCCATCTGGCCCACTTGGTTCGCCGACCGGCCGATCATCTCGCGTCCATCTCGCCGCGTCGAGTGCGACTGATAAATGCGTGTGACGAGCAGCCACTTAATGAACTTGAGCGTCAGCTGCGTCGACGGATAGCCGGCGCTCATGCCGGCCCGCCAGTTGCTGCGCGTGACCTCGTCCCCCTCGGTCATGGCGGCCTCGAACTCCCGCCAGCGCTGGATCACTTCCCTGCACTTCTTGGCACCGTGAGCCCCCACCGGCTTGGCCTCGTGCACCGCTGCCTGTCCGTCCGGGATCGCCTCGTGCATGACGGCCGCAGCGAGCACGCTTCGCCGCCGCTTGCCCCTCGGCGCGTCCGCCGCCGCCAGCGGCGCAAGAAGCTCCGCCTCCCGCTCGACGCACTCCTCCTCCCGCCTGCGTTTCATCGCGGCCGGTGCCTCGGCCTCCGCCTGCTTGAGCTCCGCGCGCCGGCGCCCCGCCTCGCGCAGCGACGCCCTCGAGGGCGGCAACGCCGGACGGTACAGCTGCTCGACGTCGGCCCCGGCCGGCGCCGCCACCGTGCTCAGCACGGGCACGGGCCACGCCTCCCTCGTCGCCGCCCCCCTGCCTTCGCGGCCGTCGCGTTGTGACGTCCTGTCGACTCCGCGGCTCGCGCGCTGCGCCGCCCGGCCGCTCGCCAGGAGGGATGCCCCACGCCCCACCCACGTCAACGGGTTGGTCATCACACGGCTCTGGCGTGCTCGACCTCGCGACGCCTAGGATGGCAACGCATCAGGCTGCAATCGGGACGCTCCGGGCCGGGGTGTGCAGCCGGCGCGTCGCCTGGCGCTTGCCGGCCGCCTCCCTCAAACGCCTACAATGCCACACGCGAAATCCCTCTTCAGCGTCGCGCCTGCCTCTTCCGCGGCCGGGCGAAGTGGCGGGACCTGCGGGGCCGAGCCCGCTCCGTCCGAGCGCCCCCACCGCCCGCTCCGCCGCGCCCGCACGCGACGGCGAGAGCGCTGCGACCTAGCGTGACGTGCAACCTCGAGCGATGATGGGGTGTGCGGTTAGGGATCCCGTCCCGGCGGTCCCGCAGCTCGCGCACATCTCCCTCTTAACCCACCTCTAACATCTACATAAGGGATCCCTACATCGGTGTGTCGATTACGACGAATGGTGTGCCATCCCCCCCCGCACACCGCACAACGCACAACACTACGCCCAACAGGTGCTCGTCTTTCCCCTTGTCGGACTAAGAACAGCCAACACAACACACAACAAGTGCTCGTCTTTTCTCCTCTGATACAAAGAACAGGCAACAAAAAGAAAAAATACCGCACACCACCACAACACACAACACACAACAAGTGCTCGTCTTTTCTCCTGTCATATGGTACAATCTTTTTGGGTGCTGAAACTACGAACGTACGCACGTACAAACAAGTTGTGTAGATGCCGCCCTCAGCAGTGGCTACTCCGGCACCTGTTGCTGCTGCCTGGGGCCTCGAGGATGTGCTGCTCAGGTTGCCCAAGGCACACAATTATTCGCACAAAACAGTTGTTGTGACCATGGCAAACTTCGCAATGCGCGAGGCGCTGCTTGCGTGGGTGCAGAGAGTGAAAGATTTAGGAGAGAAGCGGTACGTGGTCTTGGCGAGTGATCCGGCGACACTGGACGTGTGCCGCGAGAACGCGCTTCCTTGTGCGTATGATAGCCACTTGCAGCTCCAACCAGGCGAGCTGCGGTACGGCATGACGCCCGAATTCCTCGCGATGGGTAAGGTGCGCTTCGGCTACACGCTCCGGCTCCTCCAGCTGGGTCATGACGTGCTATTTTCGGAGCTCGATGTGCTTTGGGTGGCGCATCCGATTGCTCACGCAGCGGACCCCAGGTCTTCCCGCATCAACACTAGCGAGAATTACGACCTGCAGATCCAGCCGAACGCACATCTGGAGGATCCCATCCTCAGAGGGCAAGAGCTCAACGTCGGCTTCTTCTTCGTGCGCAGTACCGCCGCCGCGATATTGCTCATGCGAGAAACTCTGCGGACTATGGCTGAAGCAGCGGGGGCAGCGTCGTGGGAACAGACTGTCTTCTCGCAGACGGCGTGGCGCCTCGCCGGCCCGTGGAGCGAAGACGATCACACGCATGGGCGCCTTACTCATGCGCCACTGACGTTGGCGAAATCGGCTCCGCTGCGGCTGCACCTGCTCTCGATATGGCATTTCCCAACGGGCGGATGGAAGCAAACACCAATTGTTCCAGTGTCCGCCTACAGACGGAATGGCACTCGGCCCACCGTGGTGCATTGTACTGGTCGTACTGGCATCGTGCCGAAACGCAAGTGCATGGACCGTTGGCGCCTTGCCACGCGAGGAATGTTCCCAGGTAGCCTCCACACCACCTGACCCCATGCCGTGCCACCTGACTGTGCGAGATCGGCAAGCGCGCGGCGTGGAGCTACGAGCGGCACGAGTCGGGGTGCTCCAACAACTACACCGCGATCGCGCTCGACTCCAGGATCGAGGAGGAGCCAGGCTGGATGAGACACTTTGCATATCCTCTCTGCGCGCGCAGCGCTGTCAAAGTCCTTCACGGCCTGCCTCTGCAGACCTTTGCGATGGAGCGGGGAGTGCATGCCGCGCTCCGTACGCTGCAGGCGGCACCAACACCGGCAAGGTGGTGGTGCGCATGGTCCGGGACGGACCCCGCGTCGATCAAGCGCGTGTACGCGCCCAAGGCGAACGGTGCGCGCCTTCTCTCCGCTCTGCCACCTGCCAGCACGCAGCAGCACGCGTGCGCCACGTCAGCGCTCTCGTCTCGACGCGTGCGTCATGCTTTTTAGAATTCGCGTTAGACACACCACAAACTTCTTCAACATAAACAGGGCAGGACATGCCCACCGCGCACACAGGAATCTCACGCGGTCACACCACGTGCACCGTGAACGAGATCGGGTCTGCGATCATCCTCATCGAGCCGGGCTTGAGGCCCTTCTCTATGGGCGCCTGCACGAGCTCGAGCGCGAGCGCGAGCGACGCCTCGTCCGCCAGCTCGCCCCACACGGTGTGAGTGGCGCCGAACCCGTTGCGCCCCATCAGTATGAACAGGTCGGGCCCGGCGCTGCCTCCCGCCCACGCCACCTGCCCCTTCTCCATCATTTTCCCGCCGGGCCGCTCCTGCGGGTCGGTGCAGTCGGCAGGCCCGCCCGGGAAGGCGCGGCACCGGCTGTTTGGAGGCACGACCGCGCGCATGCCGCCCTGCAGCAGGAAGCCAGGCTCCGCGCGGTAGAAGACGCACCTGCCACGAGGAGGTGTGCTACGATCAAGAGAAGAGAGGTCGGGCTCGGTGCGGTAGTGATGGGACGCGGCGGCCACGCTCGATGCAAGAGCTCGCGGCTCGTCGTGCCGCCGCAGAGGAGGCGGTGGGGGCTGGCGCGTCGCAGCGCCGTCAAAGACGGCCGGGCGCTGTGACGGCCAGCTTGGAGCGTGAGGGTCTGTGTGGCGACTCTGGCAAGACGCACTTGGCTGTGCACGTGTCGGTCAGAGCGACTGTCCGCACGTACGTCACCGACGGGGCGTGCCAGTCGGGCCGCAGCTTGATCCGCAGCTCGCCCTTCGCGGTGCGCAGCGCCACCACCCGCACCGCCTCGAGCTGCTCCGCCGACGGCAGCGGCACCTGCAGGGGACAGGCGTCACTGCCATGTCTGCCATGTCTGCCATGACAGCGTGGCGCGTGCGAGCGCGACGAGTGGGCGCGCAGAGTGGGCGCATGGCAGACATCGGGCTGCGGAGGGGCGAGGCGGAGGTGTCTCGGGGGTGTCTCGGGGGTGTCTCGGAGGTGTCTCGGAGGTGTCTCGGGGGTGTCTCGGAGGTGTCTCGGAGGTGTCACGCACCGATCCCGGCTTGTCCTTTTCACAGGTGCCTGCACTCCACGGCACGTGTGCGCCCTCGCCGCGCAGCGGCGCCGTGGACGGCACCTCCACCCACTTGAGCCAGCACTGCTGTCCGCACGCCTTTGCGTCGGCGCACGATACCCAGACGTTGCAGCCGCGTGTGCGGCCGCAGGCGGCGCGACACTCGTCCGGCGGCAGCGAGAGACCGCGCGGCCCGTACCCGTCCTGGACGACGGCGCCGTCCAGGTCGGTGTGCTCGCGCGTCGAGGCGCACGACGCGGCGGTGGCGGTGGCGGTGGTGGCGGGGATGGCGGAGGCGGCGGCGGCGGCGGCAGAGGCAGTGGCGGTGGGAGCTGCGGAGGTGGCAGAGGTGGCGGAGGCTGCGGCGGCCGCCTGCATGCTCCCGACAGTGCCGTTGCGCAGATACATGCTTCGGAGTGCGTGCAGCACGTCACCGCCGCCGACCCGCTGAGGCTGAGGTGCTGCCGAGGCGGTGGCACCGCCTCGCTGTGGCGTGTACGGGACGGCAGCGCCAGAGCTGCCCGTGTTCAGCGTGCGAGAGAATGCCGCAGTGTACGCGTACCACAGGTACAGGGCGCAGAGGTACATGGTAGCGCGGAGCCATGCTCGCGCCATATAGCGTCTCAGTAGTGGTGGTGGGAGCGCGATTGCAGCGGCCCCAGGCGCCGGTGTACCCCGCCCGACGGGGACATCCAAGCGCAGGCCCCGCACGCGGCCCTGCTGTCCTCCCGTCGGCTGAAATCGACCAGGCCCATCGCCGTGGGCCCACCTGCGACTGCGGCGGCCCTAGCACCGGCCGATTGTTTGAGAGATGGCCTGTGCTGCGGCCATCTCGGACGTTTAAGCGGCGCCAGCCAGCGGCTCGGCCGCGCATCCTTCACACACGCCGCCACGACCGGGACGAGCGGCCCCGGTGTCGAGCCATGGTGTGAGCTTCATGTGAGCGGCGGCCGTGGCGACAGCAGGTCCACCAGACGGACCTCAAAGCTTGCCGTCGGCGTGCTGTCGTGGCGAGAGCGCGAGACAGCTGCAGAGGAGCCGAGTGCAGTGGCGAGCCAGAAGCTACCTGGGTCACCAAGTGGTAGCCCTTGCCCATTCTGAGCAGGGCTGTGCTTTGGTGGGGCTGTGCTTGAGCGTGTGTGAAGTGGGAGTGCGTGCCGGCGGTGTCTGTGGGTGAAACAGGCGTGTGTGAGGCCGTAAGAGCCGTGGTATGAGCCAGAGTGGGCTTCATCACCCAAAATAAGGGCGGTTTGGGACAGCTCAGGCTTGATACTGATGGGCCTGGGCCAGGAGAGAGACAGAGAAGGCGAGGTGGTGAGCTGGGAAGCCGCTTCGTCGGCACCTGGACGTGGGTCGTGATGAAAAGTGCCGAAAAGTACTATTTGCGGCTATTGCTCAAAACATTTGGAGAGAAGGCCTATCAGGGGTGGAAGGCAAGCTTCCTGGCGTTTCTGGCGAGCGTCCAGACGTCGCAGAGCATCCGGCAGGCGCGCAGCGACCCAAATTTTTGCTCACCGCACGGCCGTGCGCGAGCCGTCGGTCGGTGGTGATGGTCGGCGTCGGCGCGCGCCGACCGACGCGGCGGCGGGGTGGACGTCATGTGGCGGGCGTGGGAAAGAGCATTGTCCGAATTTCGGCGGATCGTACTCCAGCGTGTAGTACACAGATAGCCGTAGTAGGAGAGCAGTCAGCCGCAGAGGGAGGGAGGGAGAGGAGTGCTCAGAGGGTGGCAGTCCTTCTCGATACAGGCGCTGGACGATTGCTGTAAACGACACACCGGGAGGGCGACGGTGATGACTTGGCGGACACACAAACGCACAACCCCGGGCCCGAAATCGCACACACACACACACACAACCCGTCAGCGTCTCCGACTCCGTCACCGGACACCGCCTCCTCCCACACGCCGCACCGCTCGCACGCGCGGACTCGCCTCGCCTCGCTGACCAGCTCTCGGCCACAGTCCTACTCGCCGCGCCCGCTCGCTCGCCACGATCCCTCCCGCAGGTAGGGAGGCACGGTCCCCGAGCACCTCCCCATCTCGCCCGCGACAAGCGTCGCGCAAGGGACAGAGTCTGTCGCCGTGGCAAAAATCCCTCTCCCCGCGCAAAACACGCGGTCGAGGACCTCGCCGGGAGAGTGCGCCTTTGTGCGCCTCGCCTCGTGGTCGATCGCGGCGCCCATGGCGGCGCGAAAGTTGGCCGCCTCGTCGGAGGTCAGGTCGGCGCGCTCCTCCGAGTGGGCCGCCCACCGCCCCGCAAAGGTGTGGTGGAAGGAGAGGGCCTGCGAGCTGTGGATCCGAAACTCGGGCCCGCCGTCGCCCGGCCGCTCCGCCTCGAGCACCGACTGCACGCGCAAGTAGTTGAGGCCGAGGTCGGGCAGCGGCGCCACGTCCTGCTCCTGCGCCTTGACCACGACCGGGTGCAGGCCCCACGGGGAGGGCGGGGTCAGGTCGAAGCACCTGCCGTCTCGCCCGGACGGCGGCGAGGGCGAGACAAAGATGACGCGGCCGACGTCCGTGCACACGCTCGCCTTCCGCTTCCGCTTCCGCCCGTGACCGGTCGTCGAGCCGCTCTCCTGCGCGTACCGCTTGCGCAGCTCCTCGCCCTCCATCTTCTCGCCCGGAAGAAAGCGGTCTCGTGGACGCACCTTGGGCACGTACCGGCCCTGGAGCGGAGCGCAGAAGGGTCCGTCACGGGGGAGGGGAGGGTGGAGGCGGTGACGGGGAGGGGGTGGCGGTGAGGGGGCGGTGGGCGGTGATGCCGCCACGCTCCACGGCGTGCGTCGCAAACCCGCGGCCGGCCCCCGCACTGGGCGGGAAGCCATCCGACTAGTCCCGACGCGCCCACCGTGAGGCGTGGCTGCGTGGGGCGTGGCGGCGGCAGCAGGGGCGCGGGGCGGGCGGGGAGGGAGAGGGGCCGCAGCTTTGGGATGCGTGCACATTGGGCATGTGTCTGCGAAGCCTCTCGGTCGCCTCCTCCAAGCTCAAGTGCGGCGGGACGTACGGCCGTCCGGCGCTGACACTGATCCAACCGCCGTCGCTGCGGTACTCACCCGCCTCCTCGCCCTCGTCGTCGCCAAAGGTGGCCACAGGCGTCAGCGCCAGTTGCGGCGTGTAAACGGCGTCGTGCTGCTCGCCTCGGCGCGTCTCCTTGCTCCTGCGGCGGCCGATGTCGCGCCACGGAAAGTCTGCCGCGGCCGCGTCGAGAGGCACGACGTAGGTGCTGTAGTCGTCCTCGGGATTGACGCAGTCGGTGCCAAACACCGTCTTGTGAATCTACGAGGCGGGGACGAGCGCTCAACTGCGAGAGAGCCGGGACACGGACACAGCCCGCACGGGGCATTCGCCTGTCTCGCCGCAGCGCCAAATGTCTCCCATAGGCCGTGTGCAGTGAACTCGCTCCGCCACCGCTCCGCCTGCACTTGGTCGGGAAGGAGTCGATGCGGATCAAAGGCGAGGCAGCGCGTGGCGCGGAGCTGAAAGAAGTCGGCGTCGAGGATCTCGAGTATCACGACGGGCCGGCTGGCGCCCGACGCGTCGTCGCGCAAGAGAGCACACAGCAGCTTGTCGACGCGCATGAGGGCAAGGGTGGAGCTGGGCAAGGGTTAGTCCCTGGGAGCGACTAGACACAGGCGTAGCAGGCTGACACAGCTCGCGCACCCGCTGTTTTCTTCAGTGCACTAGGCCTGCTCGCCAGGAGTAGGCGAGTGTGTGGGAGGTTCACGCCCGTCGCTCAACGTCTGTTGAAAAACTGTTCGCTGAGCAAGCTCACGGTCGAGCGGGCTTGACGCGCGCTTCAGGATAGCAAGAGGCGTGCCGCCCACTCCCCTGAGGAGCGTGCGGGCACGCCTGGGAATCGTTGTGGAGCGACCATGGACTGGGATGACAGCCGGCGAAGCGCCCTCGACGTGGACTGGGAAAACCATGGCGCCGAAAAGCGCCTCGAAGTGCTGGGAGCTTCACGGCGGAGGCTGTGAAGTCGCGGCATCGAGTTCAACCTCAGCGCACGCACTCACCGTGCTGGGGAGGAGTTGGCCTGCGAGCGGCGAGCGCTCCCGAGCGCGCGGCGCCCCGTTCTGGCCATCTTTCGCTTTCCCACCACAAAACCGCCTCTATTTCGTGCGCCTCCGGTGGCAGGTCCTCTAGCCGGGCCCGATTCGTGGTACTTTTGATGTTTGCGCGCCGGATCTCGACTCCGCAGTGCTGCGGTGCGTCCCAAAGCAAAACTTGTGTCAGAGGGGCCAGATTGGCCGATTTATAACGACGAGACCGAGTCTGAAGGCTATTTTGCCGCGACACCGATACCCGGTTGAGGGCCCGCGGTTGTGGCTAGTGGAGGGTGCTGTACAATCCGAGGGCGTTCCCATGGCCTCACGGGCCCGGGCGACGATCGTGGCTAGAAAAATAAAAAAGCACCATCCGTGGGGGCGAGATTTTCAACTGTCTAGCTCGATTTTGACCCATAACTAGACAGAACGGCCCCAAATCGGCCCGGAACCGACCCGTGGGCCCGTCTGCCGCACCCAGCTCCGCCGGGAGGGGCGCCCGCCGTTCCCCGCAGCTCGGGCGGGCCACGCAGACGCGGCGGGAGAGCTTCCCGTGCCCTGTGAGTGCCGTCACATCGCCTCTCCATATCCTATCTCCACACATTTTGGCCCTGGTGTTGCTGCTCAGAGCGATCTGCAATCCACAATCTCATTCTTCGATCTTTTGTCTTGAATGGGGAACCGGACAGGAGGGATCTACTGGCGAGACTTGGGCGTGTCCGTGTGTGAGAGATCCGCTAGGATCTCCAGTCTTAATCTACCACTATCTCTACCCCCCAACGATCTACTGGTCTTGCGCGCAGAGATGTCCATTACTCGATATCTGCGCATCATCGCCGGCACAAACGCCAAGAAGCCCCCCTCACCCTCAAACGCCTTTGCGGCCCTCGTCGACCCCTCCGCAACGCCTTCTCACATGACACATGCACACATCGCTCAAACGGGCCCACAGCCACACACCGACGGACCCACGGACTGAATTCTTTTTCCGCGCCTCGGTGGTGGCCACAACCTCACCCGCCGCAGGCCTTGCTCAACCAGGTCGAGCACACATGCGGCAGGTCCCGGAGGGTGGAGCCCGGCTCGCCCACCTTCACAAATACCTGCCGCACGAGCTCCGCATCGCGCGGGATGTGCAGGTAGTGCGGGGCCTGGGCGAGCCGGGCGCAAAACGCGTCCACGCCGGCGACGTCCTTGTTCTCGAGCACGGTCACATTTGGGTACAAGAAGAGCGCGCGCGTGTCCGCGTTATACGTCACGTAGTGGGGCGTCGTGTCATCGTAGTGCTCGCGGCTACGGTACGGCGGCTCGTCGACAAACTCGAGCGTGCCCATCTCCTGCTCCTGGTGCAGCGCGTGCCAGTGCTGCTCCCCATCCTCGTACACGACCAGGTGCTGGTCGGACGTCGCGTCAAACTGGCGGACGGCGCCCAAGCACCAGACAAACTCGTCTGCCCTCTCCCACCATACGCGAACCCTGCATGGGGGGGCGGTGTGTGAGTCGGTGCTGGATACGGTGCGTTGGGCTCGGTTGGTGTGTGGGGCGCGTACCTCAAGCCCATCACTTCGAGGGAGTACGACAGCAGTTGCTCAAAGTCGTTCTCGGCGCCAGGCACATGGAAGCCGGTGATGATGAACACGCCGTGGTCCCGTTGCAAGACTTGCCTCTGGCTCGTCACGCGCACCAGCGGCTTGCGGAGGAGGAGGGCGGTGCCGATCCCTGATGCTGCGGCGCATAGTCGGTTCATGCCTGCAAAGGAGAGCAGGTTCTCGCACGGCCGGGATGACGGCGCCCACACTTCAATTCCGAGCTCCGTCAACTCGAGGCCAAATCCGCTCATCATTGCCGCCTGACCACACACAAACTTTCCCGGCTCGGGGAGCAGCGTGACGTCAGTGATGTACTCGACCAAGCCGAGCGTTCGGTGTAGCTTTCGCGGGCGCGCCTCGCGAAGAATGCCGTCCGCGCGCAGCCGCTCGAGCGTCGCCGCCTGCGCCGCAAGCGTGGTGCACAGCGGCAGGTCGACCGCGCCGCCTGCCCGCCGGACAGTCCACTTTACGCGGACGGTGCCGGCTCGGCGCGTCCACTGGTGGCGCAGCCGCGCGGCAGCCGTCTTTGGCCGCGGCTTCGCGTTCCGCAGAGGCTTGCCTCGCTTACTGCGCCTGGGCTTTGCCTTGGCGGCGCGGTAAAGCCTCGGCGCCGCCTCCTCCTCCTCTCCAACATCTGTCCCTCGTTTCTCGGCACGCTTGCTCCGCTCGCCGACCGACTGCACGGTCGCCTTTGCTCCCGAGTCGCCGCACCGCAAGCGCCCTTCGAGGATGCCAGCCTCCGACGGTACCATGTTTGCGAGCGTGTCGATGTTTGCCTTCTCGTTCGGCGTGCACTTTATGCAGTATCGCGCAGCCAGCCGCGACTGGGCCCGGGTAAAGTCATCGGAGCCATGGAAGGTGCGATGGATGGCGCAATAAAGGTATTCACCACCCGTCCGGAGCTCGACGAACTCTGGCGTAACGAGGTGGGGTGGCACGTGCGGCATTCCGGTGCCTGTTGGGCATTAAGAAAACGTCGGCGCCCAAGTAAGCGATTTCCGCTAAATCTAAGAGTATCAGCGGCCAACCCGCAGGCGCGAATCCGAGAAAAGGCCCGATACTCGTACTCGTACGAGTGTGAACGGTGTGCGATTTCGGGGCCCGGGGTTGTGCGTTTACGTGAACGGTAGACGTTCGACGACGTTCGCCTCGACGACGTTCGCCTCGAAGGTCAGTCGCCCCCGCTGCCCAACGCGAGCAAACGGGCGTGAGCAGCCGCCACCTGCCGAGGCGTTCATGTCACCGCGTCTGGATTTTCGCCAGCGCATATGTGCTTGAACACTCGTAGCATGGCGGCGGCGGCGCGCCCACCTCACTCAATCATCCACACCTGCAACTCTTCTTCCACTCATCGCGCGCCTTTCTCGCCACTGCCTCAGGTCTCTGCTCCTCGAGGACTCCTCCACCTCCTTCTCCGCCACCACCCTCTCCTCCGCCACCCTCTCCTCCTCCTCCGTCGCCGCCGCCGCCGTCGCCGCCGCCGCCCTCTCCACCACCCCCCTCTCCTCCACCTCCCTCTCCGCCGCCACCCTCTCCGCCGCCACCCTCTCCGCCTCCACCGTCGCCGCCGCCGCCATCGCCGCTGCCGCCCTCTCCGCCACCGCCATCTCCTCCACCTCCTTCGCCGCCGCCGCCCTCTCCTCCACCGCCATCTCCTCCACCACCCTCTCCCCCCCCTCCCTCGCCACCGCCGCCCTCTCCTCCGCCGCCCTCGCCTCCGCCTCCCTCGCCTCCACCTCCCTCGCCTCCGCCTCCCTCTCCACCGCCACCCTCGCCGCCAAGCGCCGTCGCCGCCGCCGCCCTCGCCGCCACCCCCGTCGCCGCCGCCACCCTCTCCGCCACCACCCTCTCCGCCACACCGCCATCTTCTCCACCTCCTTCGCCGCTGTCTCACCCGACCAAGCGCCCTTCTTGCCCGTCTTGAACTGGGCCCTGCGCGGCGGCTCAGGGGCTGGTGACGCTCGCCGCGTCGCAAGAGCCGCGTCGCAACAGGGGAGGGAGATGGGAGAGGAGTTGGTTGGCTACTACGTTATTACTCACGTGCGGCGGCACACACATCGCGAGGTAGAGCGGCATCGAGAGAGAAGGAGGAAAGCGATTTTTATGTATGTAATAACTAGCTGAGGGGCTCGCTAAACGCTCGCCGAGCTCCATGCTGTGCAACACCACCTCCTCACTACGGCTTTACGGGCGGTGTGGAGGGTGAGTTGAACAAGGGGTTGTGCGCCGGGCCCTCCTGCTCGGCTCCAGCCCCTATTGATAGGTCCAGGTGATAGTCCTGGATGGGCAATGCGTACGCCTCACTGGGCCTTAGATCGCCCGACCGCGTCCCGGTGCTCTGCCGTCGGATTTGTGACTCCGCCGCACCGCGCCGGGGGGCCTCTCCGGAGGCCGAGGATGGCCGTGACGGACCGGGACGAGCTCTGGGAGGTTCAGTGTCAGTGTATATATTGTAGAGACTAACCATGTCCACAATATCTTGACTAAGAGCTAAGCCAGGGGAGGCGATGCCGGGGCTGTACAGCAGCTTGATGCATGCCACCGAAGGGGCGCTGTCGAGGTTCGCCGAGCGCGGCGAAATCCGGGGACACCGTCACCGACGAGCGCGTTTGAGTATTCACTCCGGACTAAGACGGCCGCACGCACACGAGCTGCGGTCGTGCGGCCGTCATAGCGGCGAGGCGCGGGACCGTCTGTGGCGAAGTGGGTCGCGTCCCCGGATTTCGTTCAACCCACCCTCCACACCTCTAATCGTCAGGGGCGCGGAGAGCGCAGTGCACTGCGGTGAGGCTGCGCAGCGGGGGCTCGCCCCCTGCACCGCGCTCAGCGGCACAGGGGAGGGCGGTCGGTGGCGGCGGCGGCGAGGCGCGAGGCGGTGGCGGCGGTGGTGCGGGCGGCGGGATGACAGGGGAGGCGGCGGGATTGACAGGGGAGGCGGCGGCCACGAGCGGAGCGGCGCAAGAAGGGGGGGGGGCGGCGGCGGCGAGGCGCCGGTGAGCGAGGCGCCCGCGCCATCAGAGAGACGCGCCGCTGCGAGATGGAGGGCGGCGGTGACGGAGGCGAGGCGCGAGGCGGCGGCGGCGGCGGCGGCGGCGGCGGCGGCGGCGAACGGCGGCACCGAGTCTCGGTGAGCGGCGGCGGGAGGAGGAGCAGCGGCGGCGCTCGCTCGCTGTTGACGGGAGCGCTTTTGAGCCTGGGAGCCCATGCCACTGCGACCGGCGTGCCCGGGAACGGAGATCGCGCGCGCGCCGCCACTCACGACGCGCGCGCGATCTTCGCGGAGTCGGGTCCCCAGAGGGAAGCGGTCTTCTCGGCCGACGTCCAGCGGCGCGCAAGGAGCGCAAGGAAGTAGGCGCAGCGGAGGCGGCCTAGCACCGGCTCGGCGCCGTCCGGCTTGCGCTGCCCGCGAGCCGCGTCCTGAGCCTCGGCAGCGCGCTGCGCGGCGCGGCGCTCGCGCTTCTGCTGTGCCGAGAGCGGCATGATGGTTCACCAGCTGAAGCTCGAGACTCCTCGGTACCACGAATTGTGCCGGTCACGGGGTAAGCGGCGGACAACGGGGGAGCCATATATCTTTAGATGTAACTCTTGCGAACATACCCGAGGGTAAACTGCTGACAGGGTTTGCGATGAGGAGCGATCCGAACGTGGTATTCGGGTGATTAGATCACTACCGCCGTAACGCAAGAGCACTGCGACGGATCGGGCTCATGCTAGCATCCACCTCGCGGGCCCGATGTTCTGGCCCAGCGAGGCTGCTGCGGAGCACTCGCGGGCCGATGTTCTGGCCCAGCGAGGCCGCTGCGGGACACACCGGCGGCTCGGTTCGCTCCTCAACGCAAACTCGGTCGAGCAAGAAGTCAGGTGTGTGTGTAAAGGCGGCGCGGCACGGTAAGGGTCGGCGGTAAGGCGGCGCGGCGGCAACAGACGGCAGGCAGGGCATCGGACGGCGGGACAAACGGCACGGGGCGTGGCACTGTAGGAGCGGCGGTACGGCGGCACGGCGGTAACGGACGGCAGGGGGGGCGGCGGGCTAAACGGCAAGGGCGGCGCGGCACGGAGGAAGGAGCGGCACGGCAGGGAGGAGCAAGGACGGCGCGGTAACGGCAGGATCACGGATAGGCGTGGCACGGATAGGAGCGAGCGAGCGGCTAGGTGGCGGGAGGGCGAGGCGAGGGTGGCGGCGGGTGGATCACGAGGAGGGAGAAGGTCTGGCGCGAGCGGGTGAGCGAACGGCGAGCGAGCGGCTAGGCGGCGGGGGTGAGTTTTCTTTCGTTGACGGCGGGTAAACACGGCTCTCTCTCTCTCTCTCTCTCTCTCTCTCTCTCTCTCTCTCTCTCTCTCTCTCTCTCTCTCTCACGCTTCAGGCTTGTATCCCAAAGAGAAGAAGAAACCCGCCGTCGCCGAGTCTCTTGCAGAAGCACCACTCGCAACTCGCTCTACTATGTCGCTGCCGACACGTGCGCGCCGTCGGTGTCCTCTCGAGACACGTGCACGCCCTCACACCCATGGCCTCTCGGAGACTGTCCGGAAGGGGCCGTGGGCACACGCGTGACGCGTCGCGTAGTACTACGGCGGTGGCGCGAGCGGCTGGGCCGGTCCACTGGCTGCCGGTCTCGCCCTCGCAGGCCGGATCTCTGCAAAGTCGCTGGAAAAGGGGGAGAAGCGCGCGAAGGCTGACCGCAAGAAGAAGCCGCAAGAGAAGCCGCAGCCGGGACGCAGCCAGAAGGTGAGCTTCTAGTTTCCGCGCTGCCACCGGCCCCGCTGCCACACCGACCCCTCGCCGCACAGGCGCCCCCGGGCAACACGGGCCCGTCCGGCGAAAATGATCGCAAACGCAGCCGCGCGGGCGACTCCCACGAGAAGACTATGGCCCGCGCTGCCGCCGCCTCCGCCGCCGCAAAGGTACCGAGAGCGCCGCCTCCCGCTCGCCCCGCTTCGCCTCTGCGCTCACCTCGCCCCTCCCTCGCCCCAGCGTCGTCCTCACCTCCCGTCGCTCTCCTCTATCCCCTTCTCTCCTCTATCCCCTTCTCTCCTCGCTCTCTTATCCTCTCCCGTAACCACCGGAGCCGCCCTCGCTTCCGTCTTCTCCCCGTCGGTCCCCTCCCCCTCGCCCGTCGGTCCGCTCCACCGTCGGTCCCCTCCCCCTCGCAGCCGGTCATACGCATTTCGGCGGGATCCTATGTTGGCCTGACTCTCCGAACTCCTGAGCCGATATTGCGTGTGCGCGGGGCTTCACACAGCTCACTCAAACTTCGCCCGCGGCAGCATGCTCAGGCGCGGGTCTCTCTGGCGCTCCAGCCTCACGTCAGCGCACTCAGCGCTTAGGCCTCGGTCCGGCGTCCGCAAAGGCGCAGTGTGTGGTGCGGGCTCTGCCCACCCCCCCGAGGAGAGGGGGGGGGGGGCGCTCCCGCGCGGGGGGGAGCCGAGCGAAGCTCGGCTCGGGTTCAAACAACCCTCCCCCTTTTCCCTTTTTCTAAAACTGCTCGCCGCGAGCGGCTCGCTTCTAAAACGAGCTCGCCGCGGCTGTCGCCGCGTCTCGCCTGTCTAGGCGTCGTGATGCGTGTGTGCTTTTGAGCTGGGCGTATAAGAAGAAGAAATTGAAGCACTCCTCCCATTGACTTAGTACGAGCACCGAGACACGAGACAGCAGCCTACCCGTTCTACACCCACACCGCCGCGGAGCTGCCTAGCTGGCGGGTGCATTCACAGCGAGCCCGCGGGCTTGGAGACCCAATCAGACAGCACTCCCCACAGCAAAAGAGCAGACGTGCCGCTGTGAGCATCGCTGAGCAGCACCAACGACCGCTTGCGGGGTCGCCGCAGGCCGGCGCCAAGCTGCATCTGACGCCGGCATGCCGTTCAAACCCCGGGACCAAGCGCCCGCGGGAATGGGAGGCCGCCTGCCCAGAATTAAGATCGGCCGCGCACTGCTCTGGCTCCACCATGCCACCGCCCATGAGATCTCTGACGCACGTGTGATGAGCCGCCGTTCAAAAGTGACTGTACTGTGCGGAGCGCGGAGCGCACTTCGATGGCAAAGTGGGTGGCGCGGAGGATACGGCGCGTACACATGAGCGTGATTGGTTGAGTGAGCATGCCCAGATGGCCGGCCGGCCGGGCTACCGCCCCTCGACGGGCAAAAACAGGAATCAGGAAACGAGAGTCCGGCCGGGTTGCCAAGAAATCGGCGGCGAGAGCGGAAAATTCCCTTTCCGGCATCCGGAGGCAGAAACCGCAATCGCGCGACAGAATCTGATAAGGCGAGAATCGGACGGACAGAATCAGATCGATTAGGCAGAAACGGAAGCTGGGTGAGGAATCCTGCCCGGAGGCTGAGTGCGTGGAAAGGGGACGGGCAGAATCAGATCGAGTAGGCAGAACCGGAAAAGGAGAGTGAGAATCAGAAGAAACGGACACGAATCCCGCTCGAGCCTCCGCATACAGAATCCTGTCTTGGGTGGCAGAATCGCTAGTGCAGAATCCTCAGGCGTGGACAGGGTTCTCCAAGACTGGCTGAGACCAGGCCGAGACTCACTTGTGTGTCCACAGCCCACTGAAGAGAGTGAAGCCTGTGCACACTGCTCACTGGTCGCGGCGATGCAGGCCCCCCCGGGGGGCGGAGGGCTCTCTCTTCTCGAATGCATGTTTCCCCCACTACTACTTCTTGGAATAGTCTCCATGTATAGACAACATCGATCAATAAAAAAGGCGATTTACTCACGCCCGAGAGAGCAGTGGCTCTTGCACGGCGCTTGGCCTTTTAGCTAATTAGCTTTAAAAACTTTTTAAGTTTTTAAAGCTAAGAATTTTTTTGCGAGAGCAGCAGATAGGCGCGGAGAGGGGTCTCAGACTCGAGACACACGACAGGCTGTGGGACAGGTCTCGGAGTCTCGGGGGAGCAGTAGAGACTACGTAGAGTGTTGACGCATGACCCGGGCGGGCGGGAATGTGCCGATTCTGCGGTACACGCGCAGTGGCCTGCTCCGACGGTCTCAGAGACACTCACTCATGCCACTGTCATGTCGCCGCTGGCTGCGCGCGCATCGCATGCATCAGCACCTCCCTGTCTTTTGTGTAGTGGTACACGAGCTGCGCCTCGCTGTACCGGTGATCGCGCCCAACCGTCACGCAATCGCGCAGCGCGGCCCATGCGAGCCGTACGTCGCGCTCCATCCCCTTGGCCTACAAGGGGATGTGGAGACGGTCGCTAGTGGGTGCGCCTGCGTTCACGTGGCTTGCGTGTGTGCAGGCGCGCCCCGTGCAGCTGGGTGCACAGATTCGCCTCGTCGCTAGCTCGCAGCGCGGCCGCCATGGCGTCTCTCGCCGACGCCTTGTCCGCGTCGGTAAGCAGGCAGCGGACGAGCGGCGGCGGAGAATCGCCGAATCGCGCGGCCGGCGCGTCGAGCACGACGACGGCCCGGAAGGCGACCCACGCGCCGAAGGCCGGGTGGATCGAGAGCTGCGTCTCGGCGTCATGGTAGCAGAGGCCACTCACCAGCGCAACGCGCTGCATCGAGACGAGCCGCGACGAGTCGGTCACCCAGAAGATGTCGTGGCGTGCTCCGCCCGTCAGATCGGCGACTGCGGCGGATATGACCGACGCTGTGTACGTGTCGAGCGGGTCTGTGACGCTCTCGGGGTCCGGCTGCGCGGCGAGCCAGCGCAAAAAGGCGGACCAAAGCGCCGTGCTATTGCCGAGCAGCACTGCGAGCGTGCCGTCTGACGGTGGCCGCTCAAAGGTCGGCAGCGGGCTCAGCGGCAGGGAATGTTCGATCGCGTGCGCGTTGTACCATCGCACGTCGAACGGCTGTGTGATGTCAATGCCGGCGAGAGCAAGCGTGTCGGCAAACCGTTCGAGCTGAGGGTCCATGCACACACAGAGGCCCACAACCCTGGCGAGGTACTTCCAGCCTGCGGAACAGCTGAGCAGTCTCCCCAAGGCTCGCAAGAGGTCGCCTGCCTCGCACGGCCGCCACCGGGTTTCTTTCTTGCACCGCACCGTAGTTCCTTCTTTTTCACTGCAGATGCTGCTGCTGGTGCGGCGCGGCTCTCCGACGCGACTCGATGCGCGCGTCGCGGCTATCTGACGCGGCGGGCGGCGTCGCGGGCGGCAGCGGTGGCGGCTCGCGGGTGGAGGTGGAGGCTGGAGGCTGTGGTGGGTCTTTGAGTTTACTTCATGATGTACTACGAGGACTAGTGATGCTGCTCCTGATGCACCCCCCCCCCCCCTTCTCTCTCTCTCTCTCTCTCTCTCTCTCTCTCTCTCTCTCTCTCTCTCTCTCTCTCTCTCTCTCTCTCTCTCTCCCTCCCTCGCTCTCTCTCTCTCTCTCTCTCTCTCTCTCTCTCTCTCTCTCTCTCTCTCAGGTCTCTCTCTCTCTCTCTCCCTCTCCCTCTCTCTCTCTCTCTCTCTCTCTCTCTCAGGTCTCTCTCTCTCTCTCTCCCTCTCCCTCTCTCTCTCTCTCTCTGAGTCTCTCTCTCTCTCTCTCTCCCCCCCGGGCCAGCTGCACGCACGCTCGGTGACATTTCTTCACCTTCACACTGGTCGAGTCATAGGTGACGCGAGGGCGCTCACTTAATTGATTACGTCACTCATTAATTCCTTAATTGCGTACCGTATTCCGGGTAATCTTAATTATTAATCATCGGGCGGGGCGCGGCGCGGCGGCTGCGCGAGGCGGCGGCGCGGCGCGGCGGCGGGCGGGGCGGAGCGGGGCGGCGCGACCATCTGCACTGACCTCGGTCTCTGGCCGCTGCGAGCAGGGCAATGGTCGCGCCGCCCTCGACTCAAGGGGCTGCCGTCCACACGTCGCTGCTCAGGCCGGGGGAGGGGGGGAGACCTCCTGTTCCTCGCGGAACGGGAGCAGGCCCCTCCTTGCCCGGTCTGCGAAGCAGGGCGGTGGTCGTGCCATCGTCGCTTCACATCGAGCACGCCGCAACCGTCGCCGGCGCGCGACACGTTCCCGTCAGCAGGACTGTCCTGGTCGAGAGTGTGTGCCGCCAAGGCGGGGCCACTCGGGGACAGTGCCGACGGGACGCGGCTCGAAGGGTGTGGCTCCGCAGCGCGGCTGGCACTCGTCGCAGAGGCCTCACCTTCGAAAAGTCGGGCATGGCTCTACCCGCAACTTTCTCGCTAACACGCGCGCACCGCCGAGCCTGCGGCGGGCGCGCTGCGGCCGCACGTCTACCTTCGTCATAGTGCCACGACGTACGGCCTAGATTTAGCCCACGCGCCTCTGCTCGCAAACACTCACCCATTGAATTGTCACTGCCCGTGAGTGCGAGATAGGGCTAGCCGCAGGCAGCTAGCCTCTGAGGAGAGCGTCCATAGACACCTCACATGACCCCACACACAGTCTCGTCCGTGCCTCGCCGGCCGGCGAGATTGCTGGAGGTAGAGCAAGACTGCTCTAGCCTCGCATGTCACTTCCTGTTGTCTGTTGTTTGTTGTGCCCTTGTTTGTTCTTCTGGTGCCTTGGAGCGCTGGGGGGGGCGACAGGGAGGATGTGGCCCTGAGTTATGTGTACGCCTACTCAGGGTGTGTGGCAGCCAGCTGGCTGTGTGTCTTGTGAGCCTGTTTGTGTCTGTGTGTCGCTCGTGCGTGTCGTCATCATCTGTCTAGCGTCCACCCATACCGCGTTGGTGTCCAGTCCGAGCCTGGCTGTTCTTCACCTTTCTACCTACCTACCTTTCACTGTATGTGGCTCTTACGAACATACCCGAGGGTTAACTGCTGACAGGGTTTGCCATCAGAGCGATCCGAACGTAGTATTCGGGTTTAGTCCCCAAAGAAAGAAAGAAAACAGAAACCCATAGGTGAAAGCCACTTGAACCGAAGGCCGCAAGACACGGTGCAAGGAAGAAGGATGTTGCCATCGCGGAGTACATGGATGGTCGAAGGACAGAGAGGAAAGACGTTGGCTCCCCTGCGAGAGGGACCAGGTGGCCGCCACACTGGAGCCCTCCCGCCCGATAATCGACTGCCTCCCGTCGAGACTTGAGGCCCCATTGGTGCCTCGGCGCTGCCTGGGATCTGGCTCGCACGGCCGCCCTAGACGCCAGCGGCTCTTTTTTCTTTTTACACATGTGTGAAATGCCCGCCTCACGCTCCCGCGCCAACGCACCGCGCCGCACGCCGCCGCCGCCTGCTGACAGCGCGCCGGGCGGCGAAGTCCCAAAGAACGCCCTCAAGGCGGCTACGGACGGCCGCGTGGGACCGGTGCGATTGTGGCTGAATGAAGGCGGGAAGGCCGACACTCTCGCTGAGCGACCCTCTGAGGTCAGCGGCCTTCCGATTCCATGCACCCTGCTGATGCTCGCCGCACAGAAAGGGCACGTGCAGATTGTCGAGCTCCTCCTGAAGCGTGGCGCTGACATCAACCTGCAAACCAGTCACGGCGCCACTGCGCTCAACGCTGCCGCCCTCCATGGCCGCGAGCGGGTGGTGGAGATGCTGCTGCAGCACGGAGCGGAGTTGAACCCACAGGACTCCGCCGCCTGGTCGGCGCTGGCAACGGCTGCCGAAGGCGGAAAAGAGCGGGTGGTCGATCTGCTGCTGCGGTGTGGCGCAGAGATCGACCTGCAAGACAAGAACGGTGACACCGCGCTGATGCTCGCCGCCTACTTCAACCGCCCCGCCGTCGTGCTGCGCCTTCTGCGGGCGGGCGCAGACATGACGTTGCGCGACGCGGCGGGCAAGACGGCGCTGCAGTGGGGCAAGGAGAAGGGCCACGCTGAGTGCGTCGAGGCGTTCAGGACGCATCTCGGGGAGGTGGCAGCGGGCCGGAGCAAGGCGCCGTCGGCCGAGGCAGGCGGCGCAGGCGCGGCGGAGGGTGCGAATGCCGCGGCCTCTGCTTCGAGCAGCGAGGGAGCCGCGGAGGCCGAGCCGAGCAGCGGGGCAGTGCCAAAGGAGGTTTTGGACGCGGCTTGGCAAGGCGATGAGGCGGCGGTGCTGGCGTGGGTCGACGGCGGCGGGCGGGTGAACGCGACGTTCGAGTACGTCTTTGCGGACGGCCCTGATGTCGGCATGACGCTGCTGATGGTCGCAATGACACGTGGCCACGAGGGGCTGGCCGAGGCGCTGCTCCAGCGCGGTGCGGATCTCGAGTTGCACATCAGCGACGGCGCCACCGCGCTGATGGGCGCCGCCGCGTATGGCTTCGAGAAGCTGGTCGAGTTGGCACTACGGCACGGCGCGGAGATCAACCAGCGAGCAACCATCGGCAGCACCGCGCTGATGAGCGCCGCCGGCCGAGGCCACGAGAAAGTGGTCGACTCGCTGATCAGGCACGGCGCGGCGATCGACCTTCAGTGCAACAACGGCGACACCGCACTGATGCAGGCCGCTTTCCGCGGCCACCCTGCCGCCCTCCTCTGCTTGCTGCGGGCGGGCGCAGACGTGACGCTGTGCACTACGAGTGGCAAGACCGCGCTGCAGTGGGCCAAGGAGGAGGGCCACACTGAGTGCGTGCGCGCCCTCGCGGAGCATGCGGCGGCCGAGAAGGCGGCGGCGAAGGCGGCGGCGAAGGCGGCGTGGGCCGCGGGAGCGGCGGAGAGGGCGGCGCAGAGGGCGGCGGAGGAGAAGGAGGCGGCGCGGCATGCCGAGGAGCTGCTGGCGGAGGTCGAGGCGGAGAAGCGCGCCAAGGGCAAGAAGGGCAAGAAGAAGAAGAAGGGCGGCGGGGCGGGCGGGGCGGGGCCGTCGCAGGAGCCCGAGGAGGGTACCGAGGCGCCGTCGGTGGCAGACGCAGCCGAGGCGGCGAAGAAGGCCGAGGAGGCGAGGCTTCTCCTGCTTCTCGAGACGCTCACCGAGGAGAGGATGCGGCTCGGCATCACGCCGGAGAGCCAGGCGGCGGCGTCGGCCGAGGTGGCCGAGGCGGCGCGCTTGGACGCTGCGGCGGACGAGGCGGAGGAGGAGGCGGAGGAGGAGGAGGAGGCCGAGGCGGCGGCCGAGGCGGCGCTGGCGGATGCCGAGGTTGCGCGGGCGGAGTCCAAGGCGGCGGAGGGGGCGGCCAGGGCGGCGTTGGAGGAGGCCACCGCAGCGCTGGAGAGGAGGGAGACGGCGCTCGAGGAGGCGAGGGCCGCCACAAAGACGAGGCGTGCTGCTGCAGTCGCTACGAGGGCCAGGGCGACCGCCGCAAGGATGGAGGCGGAGGCGGCCCAGCGCTCATAGCGCGAGCTGCTCAAAAGAAGCGCGTGGCCACCATCCTGCGGACTGTCGGGTGGAGCTTGAGAGCTTCCGTCGAGGAAGCGCTCGCCGGAGGGTCATCATACCCGTACACTCATCGATCATGCACTGAGCCCGCGGGGAGGTCAGGGTGGGGGCCGGGGGGGAGGGGGGGGGGGGGGTCTCGAACGGCGTGGTGCCTTGACAAAAAAACTCCACGGTTTTTTTATCTTGTGGTACTTGGAGCACTTGGAGTGCAGTCATTAACCTCACATCCAGGGCCGGGGAGCGAAGAAGCGCACCCAGCGGGCCGGATGATCGGCATCGGGCTACGGGCTAGAGAGCCCTGACCCCTAGCTAGGGGGGGGTGCGCGTTCGCAGGGAAAGGGCCGTAAAGTAAACACGGGTCTCCGAGGGTTAGCTCCGCGCTCCAGGTTTCCCCTAGCAGCAGAATCCCCCCTCTCTACTCGGAGCAAATGTAAACACTCGACACGGACTCGACGCCCATCCACACCCGGCACCTCACCACACCGGACCCCTCTTCGTGGTCTCCCAACTTTCACTCCGGGCGTTTTCCCCCACCTCTCCTCTTTCTTCTGGTGTGCCGGTGATAGTACTAGCACGCGCCAGTTCGCACCTGTGTCGAGCCTGTCTGCTGTGAGAGAGAGTTGTGTTGTTTAAATTCTTCTTCGCCTTAGTTTGGCTGCATTTTTCTCTTCTTTCCTTCTCGGGCCATGTTCGCGCGGCGACTATCGCCTCTCCGGCGCAGTGCCGGTGCCGGTGCCGCCGCCAACGGCCGCAGCTGGGCCGCTGGGCGGCCGCGTGCGATCGCCAGCGGCGTGATACCGGGCGTGCCGAAGAAGCTCGAGGACATCGTCAAGCTCGACCTACTGGAGAAGGCGGACGCGAGCCAGGTGCTGCACGTCTGGGCGACGCACCACGCTGAGAAGGCCGAGCTGGCTGGCGCGGCTGCCGAGGCGGCCGAGTACGAGACGCTGGTCCAGCGCGGCGCCGAGTCGCCCTCCTTTGTGTGGCCCGTGCGGCGGGACGGCGGCCACATGATGCTGTACTCGCAGTACGCGCCGGCGCACCAGATGTTTGTGTACACCTTCCTCGAGGACTACCGCCGCTCGCCGGAGCTCTCGCCGCCGTGGATGAGCGTGCTGCTCTTCGACGATCTGCTCGACACCAAGGGCGTCGCGCTGCTGCGAGCCGAGGCACTCGCACTCACACATGCACCCCACCCCTCCACAGGCGCACCTGGCCTTACGCCGTGGGGCGCGTAGGAGGAGGGCCCGTCCCTACATTGCGCAGGAAACAGTCCCCTGCCCTCTCTCCTTCCCTTAGGCCGAGCCCGACAGGCTGAGGAAGGCCGAGGTGCAGCAGCTGCTCACGCTGCTCCGCCGCTTCTACAACTCCGACGACTACGACAAGGCGCGCGAGGGACAGAGAGAGAGAGGGGCCAAACAAGGAACACGACTACCCACCGGGCTTTCAGGAACGAGGCCGCTGGCGACGGAGACACGGTCACACTGCACACACAAAACGCAAACTCCAAGGCGCGCTCCTTCGCTGCTGCATGCCGCACCTTCGCTGCAGCGTGCACCGCCGGCCCCTCGCGTCGCGCCACTGGGGTCGTTCCTGTCCCCGCCCTCGGCCGTGGCCGCCCCGCAGGTCTGGGCATTCAACCACTTTCAGCGACGGTTTGATCTCGACGCCTACCTTGCGAGTGTGTGAGACTCGATCCGGACCCAGGGGCAGGGCAAGCTGCGGGACGTCACATATTCTTATTCTTTTCTCCCATCCGCGCGCAGCAATTCTTTTCTCTAGTCCCGCAGTGCCGGCGAGGCGGGCGGGTTGAATTCTTTTCTCTTGTAACCGCTGCCGAGTTCGTTGCCCCACCTTCGCGCGTTCCGGTTCTGGGGCGGCATGTCCGCCACGGGCGAGGTGCCCCTTGAGCGGCTGACGCCCGAGCTGCACCTCAAGCTCTCAAAGAAGGTCGCGCAGCTCACCAAGGCGCGCCTCAAAGCCCAGTGCCGCCGGGTGGCCGTCACGTGTCTTCAGCATGACGTCGCATCATGCGTCGCAGGTCATTGCGCACCTCAACACGCGCAACGAGGACGCCGAGGCACGCACAGCCGAGGCCGAAGCGACGCACGCGGCCGAGCTCGCCCAGCTCACCGCCGACGCCGAGGCCAAGTGCAGCGCGCTGCGCTCGAGGGCCGACGGCGCGTTCCCGATAGTAGTCGGACGAGGGCGGGCAGTCCGCGAGCGCAGAAAGTCCCTGTAGCCGAGGACCAGCCGAGACCCGGCGCTGCGCGTCGATCATAGAGAGACGCTGCCGGCCGTGTCCTGAGCAGGTGCGGCAGCCGAGGCGCGGGCGGCTGCGCGGGCAGAGGCGGAGGAGGCGCTGAAGAGGGCCGAAGAGGGCGCTGCGTCAGAGCGGGCGCGCGGGCGCGCCGAGCTGGACGAGGCCAAGGCGCGGCTCGCCGCTGCGGAGGCTGCGGCCGCCGCCGCCGCCGAGGCTGCTCGCACCGAGGCCGCGGCCGCAGTGCAGAGTGCTAGGGGCGAGTTGACAGCGCGAGTAGAGGAGCTGGACCAGGCGATAATGGACTGCCGCGCGGGCGCGTCGGGCGAAGCCACCCTGCGAGCCGAGCTCGAGGAGGTCGTGCGGTCGCACAACGCGCGCCTGCAGCCGAATGCTCGCCGAAGGAACGAACTCGTTGATGAGGGGTTGGCTCATGACTGATCCTCAGGCGCGCTACAGCCAGATGCTGGCGGAGAAGATGGGGACGGAGGAGCGGCTCGGCGCAGAGCTCAAGGCCGAGAGAGACCAGCGAAACAGTAGAGATGCGGCCGAGATACAGCCTGGATATGGTACCCGAGATCAGCGTGATAGGCAGCTAGACTTCGGGGACCCAACGCCTCCAACGACCCGCCTATCCACTACCACCATCCCCGCCCGCCCCCAACCGCCCTCCCCCAGTTCCTCCTCCCCTCGCCTCCTCACCCCCGCCCCCTCGTCATACGCCGCCCTCCCGCCGGTGCCCCAGGCCAAAAAACGCGAGCTCGAGGCGGGACGAAGAGAGGCGGAGGCGGCGGCGTCGAAACTACGAGACGAGGTGGAGCGAGAGGCGCAGGCGGCCGCGGCGGCCGAGGCCGCGGCGGCGGCAGCGGCAGCGGCGGCGGAGGAGGCGGCCGGGCGGTCCACCCAGCTGGAGGCGCGCGTAGCTGGACCTCTCGAGGGGCGTCGCTCGGAAAGTGAGCTTGTGCCCTCCCTCCGTCCTGCAGGCGAAGGTGCAGCAGCTCGAGGCGTCGCTGGCCGACGCGGCGGCGCGGGAGGCGCGGGCGAGGGCCGAGGCGGAGCGCGAGGCGGCGGAGGCGGCGGCCCGTGCAGCGGCGCTTGAGGCAGCGGTGAGCGAGGAGCGCGCGCGCGCGGCAGAGGCGGCGGCAGAGGCCGATGGATCGATTGCCGACTTGCGGCGCCAGGCGGCGGCCAACCTCGGCCAGCCTCGGCCAGCCTCGGCCAACCTCGGCCAACCTCGGCCAACCTCGGAGCCAACCTCGGCCAACCTCGGCCAACCTCGACCAACCTCAACCTATTGGCATACCTCGGCAAACCTCGGCAAACCTCGGCAACCTCGGCAAAACTTGGCTCCAGGCGGCGGCCCTTGGCTCGCAGCACGAGGTGGCGGCGGAGGAGGCGGGGAGGCTGCGCGCCGAAGTGGGCCGTCTGCAGGTTGTGCCGACGCTCTCAGCCCGCAGCCTCAGCTCATGCCCTGAAGGCGCACACCTTGCGCCGCCGTAACTAGGCGGAGGAGGCGCGGCTGCTAGCCGAGGGCGGCGCGCTGAGGGCGGAGGCCGAGAGGCGGGCGGCGGCGGCGGGCGAGGAGCGGAAGCGTGTGGCGGCCGAGTCCGCCGCAGCCGCCCGCCAGCTGGAGGAGGGGGAGGCGGCGCTGAGGCGGGAGCAGGCGTCGCTCAACGCGATTTCGGTCCACCCGGTGTGAGCAGCGTCTTCACAGCTAGAGGTGTGAGCAGGAGTCCCACGCGGCGACACGGCGCGGCTTTGGGGCGCGGGGGTGGCGCGGCCAACCTCGGCCAACTTCGGCCAACCTCGGCCAACCTCTGGCTACAGGTGCGGCCTCGAGGAGCGGGTACAGGCCGGCCTGCAGAGGTTGGATGCGGCGGAGGCGGCGGCGCGGGCGGCGAAGGAGGCGGCGGCGAAAGAGGCGACGGCGGCGGCACAGGCGGCCAAGGAGGCGCAGGAGGCGCAGGAGGCAGAGGCGCGGGCGCGGGCGAGGGCGCAGGAGGAGGCTGCGGCGGCGGCGGCGGCGGCGGCGGAGGCATCGGACCCTCGGCCCACCGACGCTATCTCCCTTGATCGTCAGCCCCGCTGTGCTTGCCACGCCAGGCGGCGCTTCAAAAGGCGACAGCCGGCGGAGCAGACGCCAGCGCGAGGGCGGCGGAGCTCGAGGCGGCGCTGGCTGCGGCTCGGGCCGAGGTGGCCAAGGCGGCCGGGCGGGCGTCGGCTGCAGAGAAGGAGGCGGCGCAGGAGCGCGCTGCGAAAGCAGAGGCTGAGCGTGCGGCCGCCGCCCGGTTGGCGCAGCGGGAGACGGCGTGGCGGCGGGAGGCAGAGGAGGCGCAGGCGGCAGCCGCCGCGGCGGCGGCGGGCGCCGCTGCTGACGTGCAGGCGGCGACTGCACGCGCGTTGGCCGCCGAGGAGGCTGCCGCTGCGGGGCGGCAGGCGCTAGACGAGTCGGTGGCGTCGCTCGACGCGGCGAAGGCGGCGGCGGGAAAGGAGGAGGCGCATCACTCGCCGCGATGCAGCCACCCGCCCTGCGCTCTCTCCCCAGCCAACCTCCCACCCCCTCCCCCGCCCTCGCTGCAGGAGCGGCTGCAGTCGGAGCTCTCACGCCTCACCGCCGAGGCGAGACATTGCTGAGATACAGCGGAGACCTAGCCGATGCACAGTCGAGATAGGCTGCCGTTGGATCTCCACGCCTCACTGCCGAGGCGAGACACGCCGCCTCCCTCCCACCCCAACTTTCAGGCGGCGGCGCGCGAAGCCAAGCTCGACGCGGCACGCGCAGAGGGTGATGCGTCTCGCGACGCGGCCGGCCGCCAGCTGCAGCAGGCGGAGCGACGCGCGGAGGCGGCGGAGGCGGAAGCGGCGTCGTTGCGCCCCGATGCGGAGGCTCTACCGGCGGCGCGTGCGGAAGCGGCGGCGCTGGCGGCAGCGCTCGACGCACAGGAGCGCAAGGCGGCGACGGCACATGACGAGGCGGGGGCGGCGGCCTCGGAGGCGGCGGCGGCACTGCAGAACGCGCGTGACGAGGCGGCGCGGCAGAGTACGCGCGCAGCGGCGGCGGAGGCCGAGGCGGCCAGCGCGTCGGCGGAGGGCGCCGAGCTCGCATCTCAGGTTGGCGCGCTGGAGACGCTGCTCGAGACGGAGCGAAGGGAGGGGAGGCGGGCGGTGGAGGCGGCAGCGGCGGCGACAGAGGCGGCAGTGCTCGCCGGCGATGAGGCAGTGGCGGCCGCAGTCCGCGAGGGCGAGGAGGTCTCCGAAACACCTCCGAGCCAATCTCAAAGACACCTTCTCTCTCTCTCTCGCCCGCTATGTGCCTTACGCTGTCGTGTGCCCAAATTCCTTGCCCTCCCATCACCCCACCCCCTCCCACATACACGCCACGCTCGTGGCCGACACACGATGTGTCCACAGGCGCTCAGACTCGCCGTCAAGCAGGCAGCCGCGACGGCGGAAACAGAGGCGGAGCGATTGCGCGGCGAGGCGGGTGCAGGCGGAGCGGCGCGCACCGTCGGCGCCCACGCGAGCGGGCGTTTAGTGAGGTACGTCGAAACTCGAACCACCAGTCCGACGCGCACTACAGTTATCGAAAATATGTGCATTCGTGAGGTCTAAAGTAGAGCGCGCAGGGCGGATGGGGGGGCACACGTGGTCACACCGTGCGTGCAGCACGCGAGACACACCACTCACGTGTGGAAAGAGAGCGAACCGCGAAGGAGAGGAGGGAGAAGAGGGAGAGAGGGAGAGGAGAGGAGGGGGGCGGGGAGGGTGAGTGGGCGCGTCAGACGCGAAAACTCTTCTGCGCAGCTGGAATACTTTCTGACAACCGACGGCGACTCTCTCTCCAAGCGGGGTGCTAGATCTATGTCTATGTCTGTTCAGCACATCGTACCTGGCATCCCTGCGGCAGCGCTCGCCGCCGGCGCGGCCCTACCATTTCCGCCCCGACTGCCAGCCTCGCCGCCTTCGCCGCCCGCCGCTCCATTCTACGGATACACCGCCTACCACGAGCCGCGCCTCCCTTGGCGCAGCGCGCTCGACGAATGCGTGCGTCGGGGCGGCACGCTCGCCAAGGCGGCGACGCCCGCAGCCAGCGATCTCCTGCTGCAGTCGGTCGACGGGGCCTGGAGGTCGAGCGTGCCGACAGGCGACAGCGTGCGGTTTGTGGTGCACGACGAGTACTGGATCGGAGGCACGGACCAGATCCAGGAGGCGGACTGGCGGTGGGTGGCGGACGGCAGTAAAATGGCGTGGTTCAACTGGGCGGATGCGGCCAGAATCAACGGCCCCAGAGCCTCCAAGCAGCACTGCCTCGTGCTCGCACGCCGTCTCGCCGGAGGCTGGCTGGACGCAAACTGCGGCGTCGCAAAGGCGTTCGTCTGCCAGGGCATCCCTCTGACGCCGCCGCCGCCGCCCACGCCGCCTACGCGCCCCTCCCCGCCGCTGCTGCCGTATCACGGCTACGTCTTGCACCCCGCCCGACCGCTCAAGACCTGGCACGAGGCCAAGGCAAGCACTCTGCCCCTCTCTGAGACACTACCAGCCTCCCGAGCCTGCCCATGGACTCTCACAGCGTGTGCTGACTCGTGTCGGCGATCATAAGCGTGCCTTCAGCAGCTGGCTGCTGCTGCTTCAGGCGGCCTGCGAGGGTGCGGGCGGCATGCTCGCCGCGGTGCAGACGCTCGCGCAGCACGAGGTGCGCTGGCTGGAGACAGAGAGAGGCGGGGTGGCAGGACGCCAGAGGGAGAGACGGTCACACACAGGAGCGACACACAATATGCACAAGACAAGGCACATCAGCCGCAGCACCCGAACCTTCTCTGAACCGTCCTCGCCCCTCACCTCTCGTGCGCAGGCGCTCCTCGCCCTCACCACCGCCCTCGCCGCATCCCCCGCCGGCACCGTGCAAGATCCGCGGCTGCTTCTCGGCAATCTCTCGGCAATACTTCGGCACTCGGCTGTATAGGCATCGCCAAGGGCAAGTTCTGGATCGGGGGCTTCGCGCCACTCGGCGGCGGAGGCGCTCTCTCTCCCGCATCTCTCCCGCATCTCGGCCACATCTCGGCTGGCCTGGTATCTCGGCGTGATCCGTGGGAGAGATCTCGGAGTGATCTCGGCGTGATCTCGCAGGCGCGTGGTACTGGACGGCTGGCGGCGAGGCGAAGGCGCCGATGCTGGGCTTCGGTCGTTGGGCGCGCGGCGAGCCGAGCAGCGCCGAGGCGGAGATGTGAGATGTGACCGAGATGTGACCGAGATGTGACCGAGATGTCGCCGAGATGTCGCCGAGATGTCGCCGAGATGTCGCCGAGATGTCGCCGAGATGTGCGAGCCGAGCGATGCTGAGGAGAAGCGCTGCCCGGCGATGCACCCGAGGTCCCCCGAGGTCCCCCGAGGTCCCCGAGATCACACCCGAGACCACACCCGAGATCAGCCGAGATCAGCCGAGACGCGCCCGAGGCAGGCGCAGCACTGCCTGGCGATGGAGGAGCAGAGCGGCTCCTGGAGCGACGAGGACTGCAGGTCGGGCCGAGAGACGCCCCCAGCTGGACGCCCCCGAGAGACACCCGAGAGACACAACCAAGACACGAGGTACACACCCGAGGTACACCCCGGAGACACACCCGAGACACCTCCGAGACACACCACCGAGGTCTCAAGAGACCCCACTCCAAACCTCACTCTGCACCAGGTCGAAGCGAGCCTTTGCCTGTGAGGCGCCGCCGCCGCCGCCGCTGCCGCCGCCTCCGCCGGCTCTCAACCTGCCGCCCTTCGCTCCTCCCGCACCCCCGACGCCGCCTCCGCCCCCCTCCTCTCCTCCGCCCCCTCCGCCCCCCGCGTCGCCGCCGCCTCCGTCGCCCTCGCCGCCGCCGCCGTCGCCGTCGCCGCCGTCGCCTCCGTCGTCGCCGCCGTCGCCGCCGTCGCCGCCCGCGCCGCCCTCGCCGCCGTTTCACGGCTTCACGCTCTTCACCGAGATGCGCACCTGGCATGACGCGCTCAAGGCGTGCGAGGGGGCGGGCGGCACGCTGGCGCGGGTCGAGTCGCCGGCGGAGTCGGAGCTGCTTCTGCAGACGATGGGGAGGACGACGAGCGCGGACGACTTTTGGATCGGCGCGTCGGACCTCCTCGCGGAAGGGCGAGGCGTCGAGCCGAGACTCGCCGAGATTGGATGCGAGACCGCCCGAGATCAGACGCCTCGGAGCCCACTTGCCATCCCTCGGAGGAGGAGCCTCTCGTACCTTCCCGGAACCTTCTCGGAACCTTCCCGCAGGCGGTGGCAGTGGGCGGGCCGCGACGGCGCAGAGCTGCGCTGGTTCCACACTGGCGCGAGGGGCAGCCCGAACAACTACAGAGTACCCATCGTGACTCGACGATTCGTTAGGTTCCACTGGCGCGAGGGGCAGCCAAACAACTACCGCAACCAGCACTGCGTCTCGGCCACACGCTCGCTCGAGGGCCGCTGGCTCGACTCGGACTGCCGCGACGCGCGCGCCTTCGCGTGCCAGTCGATCGTGCTGCCGCCGCCGGCACCGCCGGAGGCGCCGCTGCCGCCGCTGCCGCCGTTCCACGAGCCGTACCTCTCGACGGACCGACTCACCTGGCATGAGGCGCTGGCCGAGTGCCGCAGGCGCGGGCGGGTCTGGTGGATGGAGCAAGGGAGTCGGCCTCTGCTGCGCTCATTCACCACACGCGCTCGCCCCGAGTGCCGCAGGCGCGGGTCGGTCCTCGCCCGCATCGAGACCGCGGGGCAGAACGCGGCGCTGGCGGCCAAGCTGGTGGCGTCCGCGACTTGGATTGGTCTGAGCGACATGATGTCCGAGGGAGAGTGGACGTGGGCGGCAGACAGCGTCTGGCTGCCGGGGGACAAGGTGCACTGGACCCACTGGGCCGACGGCCAGCCAAACGACTACGGCAGCCAGCACTGCGCCGCCATCCTGCGGGCTGGCGCCGACACCGCGGCCAGCATGGGGGACCGCCAGGCTCTGCACGGCAAGTGGTTCGACACCGACTGCCGCGACGAGCTCCCGTACGCGTGCAAGGCCACCCCCCCGCCCGCCCCGCCCGACCCTCCGCCCTCCCCGCCCTCCACGCCGCCCGCCACGCCCCCGCCACACGCGCCCGCGGTACCCTCGGGGCGGCCCAAGCGCCCGTGGGCCGTTCCGGGCGCGGCGGCGGGGGCGGGGGCTGCGGCGGGTGCGGCGGGCGCGGGGCAGGGGGCGCCTAATGCGGCGACGGCGGTGTGCGATGGGCTCACGCGCGCCTGGGCGGGGGAGTGGGCGCACGACGCCGGCGCGGACCTGAACGTGGTGAGCGTGGCGGGGGGCGACCGGCTGCTCATCACCAACCCGGTTCGAGATTGGCCCGCGTGAGAGAGTGCATAGAGAGGCCAGCTCTCGAGAGCCCCGAGGTTGCCCTTGTATGACCCGCGAGGCCCGAGACCCGAGAGCGGCCTGAGAGTGGCACGAGAGTGCCTCGCAGGCTCGCCACTGGAGCCCCGCCTACGGCGTCCTCTCGCCCACCGACCCGCTCTCGGTCGAGTTGACCTTTGACGGCGGCACCGTCCGCGGTACGCTCTCGACGGACCTGACGCTGATCGACTGGCACAACAAGCACGTCGACCGCGAGAGACGGCCGAGAGACAGCCGAGAGACAGCCGAGAGATGCACTCGACACTCCCGTAGGCACGTGTGGTCGCGCAAGTCTGACCCGCCAGAGTGCAGCAGCCAGCCCTCGACGGCGCCGCGCCCGCTGGCCGCCGCGCCCCCGCCGCCGTGCGCGTGTACCGCGGACGGCATCTCGGGCGGCGCCTTCACCTCCTTGGACACGGTCGGGTGCAGCGACCACGACGGCTCCGAGGGGTACGACTGGTGCTATGTGGTCGACCCCGCGGGCTGCGCGACTGCCGCAGCCTCCCAGCGCTTCCCCGGCGCGGCCTGGCAAGCTTGCTCCTCGCCCCCGTCCCCGCAAGCTGCGGCAAGGGACCCGCTGCATGACCCGCCCGTCCCGTTGATGGTCCCATGCCGCGAGACGGCGGGCGAGGGCTACTGCGCGATCCACCGCTCGCAGTGCGAGACCTTCTTCTGCGCGACTTGTGCGGGCTCTAGCCGAGATCGCCCCAGAGACGGCCCGAGATTGCCCGCCTCGGCCCCGCGCCCCTCCTCCTTCTCGGCCCCCCCCCGAGAACCTTCCCGGAACCTTCCCCAAGGCGCCCTCCCCGGCTCGTGCGACTTCACGTGCGGCTTCTGCGTGCCGCCGGAGGAGCGACCCTTCCCGCCGCTGCTCGCCTTGCCGCCGCCCCCTCCCTCGCCGTCGCCGCCGCCGCCGCCCCCGCTGCCCGACTGCCACAAGCTGCTCGACGGCCGAAAGCGCGTCGGCACTGCGGGCGGCTGCGGCGACCTCGCCTTCCCGGCCAACGACTGCGAGGAGCGGGGCGTGCTCTCTCGCAGGGGGTGAGCTACAGCGGTGGTGACGTTCCGAGCTCCTTCCTCGCATAGGAGTGGGCCTTCGTCCACTCGCCTCCGGACTGGACGAGAGACGCCCTCTGCGAGCCTCCTGCGTCTGCCGGGGCTGCCTGTGCCTCCCGCCACGTGCGCGCCACAACTCCCCTGACACGGGGGAGGCAGCGGCTGCAGTGGAGAGCCGCTCTTCCTCACGCCCTCCGCCCGGAACACACAGGTCCGCCTCGAGCAGTGCCACGGCCCCCGCTCCCCGCCGCCCGCGCCGCCCGCGCCGCCGCCCGACGCGATCCCGGTCGGCCACCCGCTCTGGCTCGTCCTCTGCTCGCTCGCCGCCGCCACGCTCGCGGCGGCGGCGGGCGCGCATTACGCCGTCAAGGCGTACAAGCGATCGCGAGGCGGCTACTGCCCGAGATGCAGCCGAGATGCAGCCGAGATGTGCCGAGATGTAGCCGAGATCACGCGCTCTCTGTGCAGGCAAGCGGCTGCTCGAGGACGAGGCGAACCAGGCGTCCTACAACGAGACGGGCGACCTCGAGCTGCGGACGAGCTTCTCGTCGACGCACAGTTCTCCGGCTAAGTCTCCGGCTAAGTCTCCGGTCGCCGTCGCCCGAGCGCCCGCAGGCACACCGAAACTGACCGAGTTTGGGCGGCGGGTCTCCGGCTCCGCCGCCGCGGCGCGGGTCCGGAAAGAGGTCGCCCGCCCCACCCGACCCCCACACCCTCCACACCCACCTACACACCTCACGCACGCACACCGGCCGTGCACTTTCAATGCCGTGGGGCTCCACCCCTGTCTTCGCGTATGGAGCTACCTGACCTGACCTGACCTAACCTGACACCACACCTGTCCAGGCTACGCATAGGAGCTCCACCTCGGCTGCACCTCGGCTGCTTCTTTGCCTTAGGTCGCATCACGCATCCCCTTTGCGCGAGGCGCCGCCCGCGCCGCCCTCTCGCCCGCGCCGTCCGGCCCGGACCTGGCGGACCTGGCGCCCGCCGAGGCCGAGTCGCCGCCGAAGCTATTTTTCGCCAAGCCAGTCGCGCCACAGCAGACCTCGCCGCCGGGCGCCCCCGCCCCCGCCCCCGCCGCTGCCTCTCCCGCCTCCTCCGCCGCCGCCGCCCCCCGGGTTGCGCCCGCCGCGGCGACAGGGGATCCACCCGCCCCCGCACTTGAGGAGCCACTTGCACCCGCCCCCGCTGCGCCTGCGCTCGTGGAGGCCGCCGCCTCGCCGCCTGCTGAGGCGGCGGTCGCGGGCTCCTCAAGTGGCTCCTCGGGGGCGCCGGGGGCGGTGCCGGCGCGTGGCTCGCTGGCGGACTTGACGGCGGGCCTCGAGGTGGCCAGGGCGGCGAGGGAGGCGAGGGAGGCGAGGCTGAGCGCAGCGAGCGCGTTCAAGTCGCGGGTCCGCCTGCCGGCGGGCTTGCCGGGCCTCATGGGCAAGGAGCCCAAGGACTCGAACGCGCTCGTGGTCCTCGAGGTTGGCGTCGGGGGAGGCAAGTCGGCCCGGCTGCCAGTCCACGCCGGGGACATCCCGGCGGTCATCGCGGCCAAGTTTGCGAGCGAGCACGGGTTGCCGGCCGCGTATGAGCAGAAGCTGGTTGGGATGATTGAGCAGCAGGTGGCCATCCACTCGCAGGGAGGGGCATGAGAGAGGCGCCGACACGGGCTATAGGCAGGGGCGGGGAGAAGCGCGGGGCGTGGCGGGGCGGGGTGTAGGTTCATGGGGCAGACAGAGACCATATGTTCGGAAGGCTGAGCTGGTGCGTGAGCGCGAAGCGGAGCGGAAGCGCCTGGGCAGAGGCTCGCTGTTCACTAGATTTTTCTCTTGGGAGCCACAAGCTGAAGCGCCTACTCAATTGCGGCACAGACGGTCGTCTGGTCCTGTTGTAGAGCACGGTCTTGCATTGCCGCCCCGCCGCCGGCGGGCGGCGGTGAGTTTCTCGTGTCATGTCCGACCATGTGTGCGACACAATGGTTGGGTAGTATAGGGCTAGAGGGTCGCTCTACACTTAGCCTCTGCAGCGAGCGAGCGCTCAACTTTCTTAGCCCCCGCACGGAGCCGGGCTCAGACTTAGACGCTGTATGGTCGGGGGCCATGAACTTAGACGACACAAGGCCAACTCCGGGTAAAACCCGGCACACCTGCAAAAGTCCAGGTTTACCCGAAAAGTACCTGGACGCGTCCCGACCAACGTATGCCGCGCACGACGCCATATCGCCTTGTCCCAGGGCCAGTGCGCTACTTGCGGCGCGCACAACTCCTGCTCAAGTACGCGCACCGTACCATATGCTGCCGCTATGCGTGCCTTAAGGCGGCTGCGGCGAAGCGGCGGGCGCGGCGTGCCGATGGCAGTGCGGACGATGCGGTTGCGATGTGTTCTGCTTCAAGATCGTGGAGGTGCTTGGCATGCACTTCTGCGATCCCAATCAGCTCATCGCAACGAAGCAGCGCAACAAGCTGGCTGCTGCCAACAAGGCCCTATGCTACCTCACGCGCGGATCGTTCAAAGAGGACCAGCATACACAGGCTTCTGTGACATGTGCGTTTGTTTGAGCTTGAGGCTATTTGTGAGAACTGTTTGGCTTGAAGATTGCGCTCGGCCCCAGGCCGTGCCACGGCAGACTTAGCCCGCATAAGACCAACTTAATAAGAGGCTGCCGCCGATCTTTTAAGCCGTAGACCGCGTAAGCACCCCAGCGTGCCAAGAGGCACACTTAGACCCGCTAACGGCTAAGCCTCGAGGCTCAGAACTTAGACTACTGGTGCCCACACGCAAGTCGCCAACGATCTGGATCTGCGACAAACAATCTACAATGTAGTTTTCAAATCACCTCGGCTGCCTCGCGCCGCTCGCCAAATTCTTTGCGCATCATGTCCCCGCGCTCACGCCTCACGGCGCGAAATCATCCCCTGCCTCTGTAAAACTCTAACAGTACGACGCTTCACAGTACAGCGGTGAGCGAGGGCCTGGGAGGGTGGAAGCACGTACGTGCCGACTGCCCAATCGCCTATCCAAAGGGGTTGAAGCCAAACCCAAAGGTGGGGCGGCCGCCGGGGGAGAAGATCTCCGAGTGCACTCGGCTGCAGCAGAGCTTGACCTCGGGCGCGCCATCCACGGACGGCAGGACCTGCTTCACGTCGAGCGAGAGGCTTTGCATGTTGAGGAAGGAGAGCTGGCCGAGCGGCAGCACCGCGGGCAGCAGCACGGTCACATTTGTCTTTTGCAGGCCGGGCGGGAGCGGGCACGGCCGGCCGGAGAAATGCACGCCGCCCAAGCCCAGCGGGATGGCGATCGCCTGCGCGTCGCAAGTGCTGCCCGACATCGAGAAGGGGAAGCCAGACGCGGCTGCCGCAAAGGCCGTTCCAGGCGGCGTGGCGATCCGGTTGAGCGTTGCAAACACGATGGTCAGGTTTCTGCCCAGCGGGAGCGTCTGTTTGCCCTTGAATCGTGGGGTGGGAGCGCCGGTGCTGGTGTAGTAGACGTCGAGGCCCACCACCTTGGCATGGTACTCGCCGGGCGGATCGTCGCCGTCGTCCTCGGAGCAGTCGGACCACTCGAGTGTGAGCTCGACGCGGCCGTCGGCGTCACCGTCGCCATCCTTGTCAAAGCCCGCGTCTCCTGCGGCGCCATCCTTGCCAAAGCCCTCTCCTGCGGCGACGGCGTCGCCGACCTTTTCAAAGCCCGCTTCAGATCCTGCACCGAGCACCACAGCCTGTGGCGCCCGCGTATTGAAGGTGCCTACGAGAAGCAGCAGCGCACAGGCAGACACATAACCCATGACTGCCTGTACAGAGTTGAAACCGCCCCGAACGGATTAGGGGGTCCTTACGACTTTGGGTCTCTGGGGGGAAAAAACGACCTATGTTTTGTGTCCAAGGGGGTTCTCCCGGGGGTTGTTGGGGGATTTCCCAACCCCCCTCCGGGGGCCTCCCCCACGAGGCGGCCCCCCCCCGGGGTGGCCCGCCGCCCCACCTGGGGGCACCAACCACCGGCGGGCCACGCCCGCGGACGGCCCCCCCCCCCCCCCCCCCCCACCACCACCACCACACCACCAGCCACCACCACGTATTGTTCTGAACCCGTAGTGTGAGCGGTGGTGCCGCACGGCCGCTCTTCACCTTTGCGGTGTGCGGGTGGTGCCGCGGCGTGGCGCTGGTGGGGGAGGGGGGGGTACGGGGCCGTGCGCCAGCGTGGCCCGCCCGTGGTTGGTGCCCCTAGGTCGGGCAGCGAGCTACCCCCCCGGGACGGCGCATCGCGAGTGAGGCCCCTGGCGCCTGGGTGGGGCAGGTGAGGGAGGGGGCGGGGGCGGCCGGGCCCCGGTGAGCCCCGGGTGAGGCCCGCCCCCCTCCCGTCCCGGGGCTACTGTGATAGGCACATAAGAAAAGACGGTAACGAACCCAGGTGGGGAAACTCCGCGCACCTAGGTAGGGGAAACAGAAGAGTGGTCCTTGCGCGAGGAGAGCTTGATACACTCGAGGGGCCATACGCCGCGAGGAGAGCTTGATACACTCGAGGGGCCATACGCCGCGAGGAGGGCGGAGTTGCGCCGAGAGGCGAGAAAAGCCGCGAGAGCAAGGGATCGGCAGGCAGGCGGCGGCGTCGTCGCAGAACGAGGCAGAGGAGAGCGACGCGACCACGCGACAGAGGATGAAGCGACAAGAGGGAGAACGACGAGAGTGGGACGACCGCGAGGTGGCATGAAGGGCAGCGAGAATCGGCGAGGGACACTGCGAAGGGAGATAGGAAGAGGCGGACGCCCAAGGGTGGGCGACGGCTAGCACTCCACACTCCTCCTCTGACTCCTTAATTTGTGGTGGCGGCGTGCCGTCCTCCCATGCGACGGTGTATCATTCACTTTATGCCACGTTTGCATATCCCATTCACTTTATGCCACCGTTGCATATCCCGGGATATGCAACGGTGGCATAAAGTGAATGATACACCGTCGCAAAACTGCATTGGGTCTCGAGTTCAAATCCCGCAGTTCGACTCGGCGCAAAAAAAACCAGACGGGCGTTGTCACTGGTTCGAAACCCACCTTAGCGTTCACCTGCTATCCGCCGGTACGAAAAGAAAGAAAGACTTTTATACAACAAAGAGCTCCCTCGCACGACACTAAGGGATGCGACGGTGTATCATTCACTTTATGCCACCGTTGCAATTCCGGATATGCAACGGTGGCATAAAGTGAATGAAGATACACCGTCGCATCCCATCCCTCCCCTTTTGGGCTCTCTGTTTTCTTCTTAGTGTCGTGCGAGGGAGCTCTTTGTTGCAGCGCTGTTTGTGTCGCCCGAAACGCCGCATGTATTGTACCTCTGCGCTCTGGCGGGCCAAAGATCGACTCGCATGTCGATTTTATGACTCGACGGCGGCATGGAGGCATCACGTCTCCATGCCGCCGTCAGGTCGGAGCCAGTCTGCGGCGACCACAGGTACATAAGAGCTTTTCGCTTGAGCGAGGTACATAAGAGCTTATTCACATTGCAACTGCACAACGCCTGGCCTTCAGGAAGGAAATCCCACATCCGAGAGAGCGTCACGTTCGCTTCCCGCATCGCGCACAGCAGTGTATTCTCCGAAAACGCGGCCACTTTTGAGGCGAGGAGCCGGTTGCGGCAGCGCTCGGCAAAGGCGCCGCCCCCGCCGGCCCAGGCAGCGTGCAGCGCGCTGCCGAGAGCGACCATGGCAGCGGCTGGCGCGCTCCAGAAGCACCAGTCGAGGTGCTTGAAGTTTGGGTGGCCGCACTGGTTGACTTCGCGGGAGGGTAGCAGCCGGCGAGCACGTGCGGCAACGTGCCCCCATCCCGTGGAGCTGATGATGTTGCGTCGGTACTCACTCTTTTTTGTAAGTGATGCGAAGCGTGAGCTCCCAACATCTGCTCTGAGGCGCACTGCCGCCGAGTAGAGACCTCCTTTCAGGTGCGCATGGCGCTGCATGAGCTCGACCCCGAAAGTAATGCTGGCCGAGTTCATTCGTGTCCCCCCCAGCGCCTCCCAGTTTGTCCACGAATGAGAGTCTGACGTCAGCGCGCTGTCGTTCTGCGTTCCGACGGCTATGCTCACTGGCGCCAACGCCTCAGCAATCTGCGCCACGCAGCGCCAAGATTTCGTTGCGGAGAGCTGACCTTGCAGGGTGTCGTACCTTCGCCCCTTTGCCTTGGGTCCAATCCAATCGAGAGCATCCCAGGTATGAATGAAGACATCGCAGGAGCGGTTGAACGCCTCGTGGCAGCGCTGCTGGTGTGTTTGCAGCACCGTGACGCCGCCCGCCCTCTCGCATGTGTCGCGGAGGTGGCCCGTGAAGATGAGTGCAGCGCCGAGTCTCCGTTCGGATGGCGGGGCGAACTGCGCTGGCAGAACGGGCGCGGTTGGCCAGCCGCCGCCGGGCATACACCCTCCCGCCAACTGTCTGAAAGGGCAATATAACCAGGTTCGTTGTGAAGAGTGGGCGCGCCACCCAAGAGCCTAGGTAGGTGCGGATCGGCAAGGCGCAACGATCTTTTTGCCTTATTACATCATCCTTGGGTTGTGATCTAAGAACTTGAAAGCAACCACGCACCAGGGGTTAGAGCCTGTTTTTGCCACTTCGTTAGCTCTCCAGGGGTCTCTAATCTTGAAATCCGAGACCCAAATATCAGACCTTGCTTCAAAATCAAAGGTTTGCTTGCCACTGCGTTGCCCGGCGCCCGCGCCTAATTTTCCTTAGGGTCGCGCTGCGTCTCACATTTGTCCGTGCGCGCTCCCAGCGCCGAGCCGCGGCTCCACGCGCCACCTGGGCTGCCTCTGGCACGGCCGGGGTCCGCCGAGAGGCTGGGCTTGGCCGGCGGCGCGACGCGTGGCCTGTGCTGCGGCCATCTCGGACGTTCAAGCGGCGCCAGCCAGCGGCTCGGCCGCGCATCCTTCACACACGCCGCCACGACCGGGATGAGAGGGCCCGGTGTCGAGCCCTGGTGCGAGCTGCATGCGAGGGGCGGCTATGGCCACAGCAGGTTCACCAGATGGACGTCAAAGCTGCCGTCGGCGTGCTGTCGTGGGGAGAGCCCGAGACCGCTGCAGAGGAGCCGAGTGCAGTGGCGAGCCAGAGGCTACCTGGGTCGCCAAGTGGTGGTCCTTGCCCATTCTGAGCAGGGCTGTGCTTTGGTGGGGCTGTGCTTGAGCATGTGTGAACTGGGAGTGCGTGCCGGCGGTGTCTGTGGGTGAAACAGGCGTGTGTGAGGCTGCAAGAGCCGTGGTATGAGCCAGAGTGAGCTTCATCACCCAAAGTAAGGACGGTCTGGGACAGCCCAGGCTTGATCCTGATGGGCCTGGGCCAGGAGAGCGACAGAGAAGGCGAGCTGGCGAGCTGGGAAGCCGCTTCGTCGGCATGGCCGGTGTGCGTGTTCACACGAGATGCAAGTGCCAAAAAGCGTTGTTTGCGGCTATTGCTCAAAACTGTGGGAGAGAAGGCCTACATATTATGACTGTACCCATGACTCTGGTGCATGAGGGCTGCGGGACGGGACGTATCGCGGTCGTTGGCGCCGATGATGACCTCCGGAAAGCCCTCGCAATCGCCTCGGATGGGGTCTACCGGGGACAATCTCGAGCCCTCTCCTTGGCACCACGAGCCGGTGTGGGCTTGAAGACCCGAGTTGAGTGCGGTTTCAGACACCTCAGGCCTGCTACTGATAGGCCTGGGCCTGGAGAGCAACAGAGAAGGCGAGGTGGTGAGCTGAGAGGCTGGAGAGTCCGCGGGTGACCTTGTCACGATGCAAGTGCCAAAAAGCGTTGTTTGCGGCTATTGCTCAAAACTGTGGGAGAGAAGGCCTACATATTATGACTGTACCCATGACTCTGGTGCATGAGGGCTGCGGGTCGGGACGTATCGCGGTCGTTGGCGCCGATAATGACCTCCGTAATGCCCTCGCAATCGCCTCGGATGGGGTCTACCGGGGACAATCTCGAGCCCTCTCCGTGGCATCACGAGCCAATGTGGGCTTGAAGACCCAAGATAAGTGTGGTTTCAGACACCTCAGGCTTGCTACGGATGGGCCTGGGCCTGGAGAGCAACAGAGAAGGC